ACATCAGCACCTCAGTATCGAATCCCGCAGTCATAACTCTCGAAGGACCAGAGAATGCCTTTCAAAGCCTCAACTCAACGACGAACTACACTGAGAATTATGACATCTGTTCCTTTGCCTGGTTCGAAAACGTCTGGACCGTTAAGGAGCTGGAAAAGCTACAAGACGATGTTAACGGGACGTGCAATGGTGTTATCTCCGAGGATTGCATCAAGGAGACTAAAGAGGCCCTGGTGCGCCAGCCGTGTAGCACCTTCAGAAGCTTCGAAAAGCCTAAGAGCTGCCCTCAAGCACTTTCATCCCCTTCGTCATTTCGAAGTAAGTCACTAACTTTCGTTGTGACTAGCCGTCACAAACCTTGTAGCGGAGACTAATAAGGTCAGTCAGGGAACGTGACATTTGATCTACACAACGGAAATTCCACCAATGAAGGTTCTTCTTCTCACCTCTTCGGCATCTGGGGACCTTACTCGAATAGATCCGAAGCTGGTCTGCGTGATGCGTACGATACGGCTCTTACAAATGTCTATCCTGTGCTTCTTGCATACAACTATGAAGACGGAGAGACTCGGACGAATCACAGCGTATTTCGATGCATTCGTGCTAATAACATCGTAGACGGAAGCCGTGAGCCAGATTCGTTTGGAAGCAACAGAAGGAGCTCTGCAGGGCGGGTTTGTTGGTCAAAAGCCTCTGCAATGATTAGCATGCTTCTATCCTTATCGCTCACTATGCTCCTGTAATGTAAAGTAGCTGCACATAGAGCGGAAGTTTATCAATGCATCCAAGGGATTTACCTACTTCAATCCTTTGAATGCTGTCAGCTGGCTAATTGAAGCGCGTTCCCGAATCATTCGTGAACCTCGAATTCCAACTGGGAGACATCGAGCCACAAACTTTTTCGTTTTTGAACCAAACGCATGTCGGTGATTTGCTAAGTTGTCAACGACTGACACAAATCATGTTCATTGTATCTTCAGGAATTCGCGCGGGCATAGAACAAGCTTGACAAATAGAAGGATTATTGGCGAGACTTCGAGTTACATTGAACTATTCATTGATCTATACACCTTCATTCACCGCTTACATATATCTTATTAGCATGCACCGTCTACCGCCTTAGCCTTGATTCTGTTCCGCATATGGAAACCTCTCGTGGATACTGGGGGTAGCTTTATGCTTGAATTGAGCGTGGAGTCAATACATGCGTGAAGGTTTATTCTCCAGATCTCATACTACATCTGGTAATTTGCGTTTCGTGTCGGAAATGGAATTCCTTCACTAGGCTTTCCTCAACCTACTAAGCCTAAGGGGTGCATGCCAGCATCGCTCAAGGAGAATTCCACGTGTCTCCTGCTGTGATTCGTAACCATCTGAACTACCGGGAGTCTTTCAAGTTTATCAATGGATACACTTACGTGTCGATGAGGCGGGAGTGAGCTCGGACAGTTTCAATTCCAGTGTGTGTAAACAGGGGACGAGGGATGATGACACGGGTCATGCAATTACTAAACAAGCTCTGGCTCTCACTTTCCCTCCCATACCGGGTTGATGAGGAGAGCCGAACCCACTCCCGCACATCTCCAGTTCTCCGTCCTCGCTATCGGGAGGTGTTGTGTTGTTCATTCAAGCTCAAGGGCTGGCTACTCTTACGCTGTCAAGCCCGTTATTGAGTATGTCTCATGTTGCGACGTTGTGAAGAGATGATGACCTCTTTTTCGTCATACACCAAACTCGGGCAGGTGGAGGACAGCACTGAGGGCACGAAAACTTGGCCCAAGCAGCATCTGGCCCGTGGAAAGCTGCACCTCACGTATATTCTCCTATTGGTCTTCGTGGCTGGCGTCAGCAATTGCTTGCCACCAATTCTCATGACACGGCCCGTTTACTTTGGAGCCGAGCCACTCAGGTCAGAGGTTCGTCGTAAGTAGCTGCGAGTAACCATTTCAAAGCATGAATGTAGCTGACAGTGGGCAATAGTGAAAACGTCTACACGAGTCTTCAAGCAAGACTACGCCTACGCGATGCCACCTTCCCCCGAGGTCGATGCTGCGTGGTCTTCCCTTCTCCCGCAGAACGGCGGCTTCTTCACGCACCCGACACTTGCACCAACGGAGAGCTGCGTAGCAGTGTTCCATCAGATTCACTGCCTAGACATGCTACGCAAGGCACTTTACGAGGCACGAAATAATACAATGGAACATCGAGGGCACGAGAAAAAGAACACTGATTTCAGCAACGAAAAGATTTATGCAAGCGAGGCGGAGGAGCTCAATGCATCGCACGATATGGATCATCTCGGACACTGCTTTGACCTCCTGCGTCAAGTTATCATGTGCAGACCTGTCAGTACACTCTTCTGACTGAAATGACTTGCGTTGGTGGGTCTGGTGCTAACAATGTTTGGACAGGATCTCACGATTGAGGTTGCCAACGTCGTAGTGGACGGCGTTACGGGGTTCGACACGGAACATCAGTGTATTGACTGGTCGGAGTTGATGGACTGGATGAAAAAGAACGAGTGAATGACAGGGGGTTTGGATGTGTGTCATTACGAAGAAAAGATTGGTATTGATGCATTCACGATCTGTACCTCGGTTGCAAGGGAGAACACGCATGTATCCACGAAGATGACTACATAAAATCTACCACCTTTCCTCTTGATTGATAGACCTCAGATCTACACCATGAGCCCAAACGCTTCGAATGACGTAGGCGTGGACTTTTCTCGGACTACCAAGTACAGGGAAGAATGTCATTCCATTTAGCTCTTCAACTGCTAGCGACAAACGATAGTACACCCGAAGGGATGCTAAAATCCTTTGAACGCTAGTACCCAATCATGAGAACGACAACATGATCAGAGCTTGGCCTTTTTTTGTTGCTCGCCTGAGCGGCAATCTTGCCGCCCACAATTGTCTCTCGAGTGAGAAGTGCGGCACCTTGGCCCATGTCATTTGACTTAGATGAGAGTATATTCATGGCGAAGGGTATCCGCCACCCATGTTTGAGTACTTATCCCACTCAGAGTCGTCTCAAAATTTGTCTCACAGCCACTTTTGAGTTTCCCCCAGAAAGTCCCAGTCCCTAGGTCGGTTCGAAACATGGCATATGCCGCAAACTCACTCGCCATCCTCTACTTGCTTAGCCTAGTCAACGGGAGCTATGCACTCAAGTCCCAAGTCTCCTATCTCAAGCCACGTACCGATACTGCGATTCAGAATAGCTCCTCCATATTGACGGAGAGCCTTTCGAATCCGAATGCCACGGGAAGCTGGCCAATCTTCGGCATCGATGTGTCGAAGCCACTTTCAGAGACGCCAACAAACAATGAGTTTGGTCACGGAAACGGGTGGAGCATCGACGTTGCGGTTGCCACGAACGTTAGTGGGGGAATTGTGAGCAATTCGAACCCGTCAAAAATCAGTCTTGAATCCTCAGACAATCCGGTCGAAAGAGGAAACGCAACTGACGGTTACCGTATCTGCTCATATGTTTGGTGGCAGATGAGCTGGACTGAGAACACGATCAAGAAGCTCAATGATGATAACCAGGGCTCATGTGGTGGCGTCATCCCACAAAATTGTATCGACGATATCAGAGAAACTGCAGCGAAGGTTCAGTGCGATAGCTCTTTGGAGTCATCGCTGTACGGTATCGGATTCGACATTCCGGCGAGCTGTAGCGACTCGATGGCTTATACAACGGCAGAAAGAAGTAAGTGACTCCTCAATTTCTAATTGACGCAAGGATGTTAACGCAGAATCTCAGGAAACCTAACAACGGAGTTCATCTCAAACGCCTCGGCCTCTTCGCACACGTTATTCCAGTCAACTGCACCCTACAACATTCCCGGCAACGATAGTAATACCAGACAGGTCTATGACTACGCGGTGACGCAGGTCTGGCCCGTGATGCTCTCTTACAGTTATACTGAAGGGAGCGCGGTCTCAAACTACACGGTCTTCCGCTGCGTTCGCGCCAATAACATTACTGCTGGAAGTCGGTCGCCCGAAAGCTTCGGAAATAGACCGAGTTCATCGACTCAACACAGATCATCATTCGCGGGTCTTTTCGTTGGCTTGCTAGTTGCTACGATCGTCTCGTCTTGGATGTAAAGTACCTTAGTCATTGATACCACATCAATCAACGTTGAGGACACATCCATCGGTTTACGAGGGATTGCAGTATCTTGAGATACGCCGCATAGGTGCTAAAGGTGTAGACGTATCTCGCAATGGCAAAACTTTGCTTACATGCCCCGAGGAATCGAATCAACATTGCACCGGTAGAAATGATCAATTCGCCGACATTGAGATGATGGCGAGCACGAAGACTAATATGCATACAATAACATGCCCGTGAAAAAGTCTCGTTTCAATTGAACGTGAAATTTTGGTAACCATCTCAATTTTCTTCTTCTCCTCAACACAGACATAATCCTTGTGATACCAAGAAGGCTAAATGAATTCCTGCACGTCTGGTGCCATACATACTGTTTGTGCCTCTGGTTATGCATCACACTCTAGCTGCGGATGATCTGAGTCGCAGTTACTGTCTTACGGTCCGCGAATCAGAGTGCGACGAGCTTCGGGCGTGCAAGCGAAGCACGACGCTGACTGCATTTGAGTCTGCAGTGTGACGGGGAAAATACCACTTGCCACTTTGTCTCTGTCTCGGCTCGTACCGTAGCGAGGATCCTTACACGAGCTGCTCGCATAAATGACCGTTATTCGGACTCTAAAATTGCCTAACATGCGCGTCGTATGATCGGTGAAACTTGTGGTTTTATCTGTTTGCGTTGTGATTTGGATTCATAGAAGATACACGGCCGTGACAGAGCCATCATGACGTTGCCTACATCCTCCCCTAGACGCGTCGCACCCGAAGGAAACTCTACTGAAAAGTCAATGGAGCATGGCAAAGTAGAACAAGGTTCGTCATTTTTCGAAATCGTCTTGAAAACAGGCAATCGACTAATCTTACGGGAAATTTTCGCAATGGCAGGTGCCTCAACTCCTACTACTTCTGACGAAGACGCCGACCTGTCTCGCCTAGGGCTCCAGTCGCTGGCGAAACGAGACATTGGGCCTTTGGCTATCGTTGGATTGGGATGGAACATTTGCAACAGCTGGTCCGCAATTGCAGCCACGCTCGTGATTTCAATCAGCTCTGGAGGGCCCGTCACCCTGCTCTATGGCATCGTCCTCATTTTCGTGTTAGGAGGCGCATGTGCATTGAGCATGGCTGAGATCGCATCCGTCTATCCTACCGCCGGGGGACAATACCACTGGACAAGCATCCTAACACCCAGACGGTACAGCCGTGGACTGGTAAGACTTTCCGTGGCTCAATTTCCGTCTGTTGCTGACGTGTGCATATTTCTAGAGCTATTGTTGCGGCAGTATCAACTTCCTAGGTTGGATTGCCAATGGAGCGGGCTTCATCATTCAAATGCCGGTCATCATTCTTTCGCTCGCATCGTACCTCGATCCGACGTATATCCCAGAAACATGGCATATCTTTCTAGTCTTCCAAGCATTCAATATCGCGTTTACAGCGTACAACATTTTCCTGATGAAAAGGACAGCTTGGGTCCACGATATTGGCTGTAGGCACTGCTGTTGATTACTGCACCTCGCAGACCATTCAAAGACGGTGCAAGGGCTGACTACCTGATTTCTTAGTTTTTCTTTCTTTGACGGGCTTCTTCGTGATAACGGTCACATGCTTGGCGCGCTCGGGACAGAAACAGAGCGATTCCTTTGTGTGGACCACATTCGTTAATGAGAGTGGTTGGTCTTCAAAGGGCATAGTCTTTCTGACCGGTCTACTCAACCCTAACTTCATCTACTCCGGCCTCGATGGCGCCATACACTTGGCCGAGGAATGCACCAATGCTTCATCTGCAATACCGAAAGCACTTATATCGACGATAACTATCGGGTTTGTTTCGGCTTTTACGTTCAGCGTAGCTATGCTGTACAGCTTCACAGATCTTGAGCCTGTGCTCTCATCACCGTATGGGCCCCCATTCTCTCTGGACCTAAGTGTCTAGGCCCGGATCAGTAACACCTAGTTCCAAGTCACGCGGGGCGGTGATCTCTGTTGCGGGCATTGGAAGTTTGCAAAGCTGACATGGACTTACACTAGGCTGCCTATTCTCGAGATTTGGTCGCAAGCAACTGGATCCAGCGCAGCAGCAACGACGTTCGTGATTGTACTGTCTTCTTGCGGATGCTTCGCTTGTACGGGAGCACTCCAGACGGCCAGTCGACTCACTTGGGCATTTGCTCGTGACAATGCCATTGTATTCTCCCCATTCCTTTGCAAGATCCACCCTGAAATGGGCGTGCCAGTCAACGCACTTCTTGTCAACTGGGCACTCATCTTCGCTCTCGGTTGTATATTTCTAGCGTCTTCGACGGCTTTCAATGCTCTTGTAGCTACCGGTCTAATTCTCCAGCAAGTGAGCTTTGCCTTTCCAGCCGCCCTAGCTCTATATCATCGGTCACAAGGAGGGACGGCTTTCCGTCGAGTACTGCCGCGGCGAAAGTTCAGCATGCCGCCCCTCATTGGTGCCGCTGCCAACATTCTGACGATTGTCTTGGGACTATTGGCGCTGGTGTTCTATGACTTTCCCGTTGTGATGCCTGTCTCGGCTTCAAACATGAGTGAGCTAACTTTCCCATCCCAACTGGACAGCCATTCCTTGCTAATTCAAAGACAGATTATGCTTGCGTGGTTCTCGGGGTCATGGGTCTATTTTCTGTCGCGAATTGGTTTGGGTACGCGAACAAGAGATATAGAGGGCCTAGACTCAACTCAGTGTACTAGATTGTATCGCCCAGTGAAGGTATTGGAGGGCTTTTAGGACTATTCTCTATAGGAGTATAAAGTTTCGCAAGGTGGGGTGACGGAATCGAAACGAAGACGCTGGATGATGCCATCTGTGGACATAGCTCCAGGGGAAATTGTGTTTCTTGACTGGAGCCTCCAAATAGTAAACATGAAAGCCTTGCCCTTGTTGTGGTGTTTCTATCTCTATAGAAGGGAAAAACAGAGGAGATATATTAGCGGCGTTGAGGAGTACATGCACTCTCAATCGACGTGACTATCTCATATGACACGCACCGCCACCGGACGCATTTGGCATAACTCCGCCTCTGGCTGAATACACTCACGGTCTTGAATAGCGGCATTATCGTATTAGCTAGGCGAGAAAAGTTTATGTCGTTATCAACAATCCAACTCGCGTACCGCAGCAAAGCCAACAGGAAGTCAGGCAGCTATGCGCATGCTACGACGTATTTCCAAAGACATGCAAGACACCCAAAGCAGCAAATCAACAGCAATAATCAGACGCATGAGCTTCTTTCTACTTGGCACAGGTTAGCGCGGAGATTCGTGGCAAAACCCTCTTGGTTTGTTTGAGATGCCAAATTCGGACAATTGCAGTTGCCCTGCACGAATGCTCCCAACATCACTTGGCAGTCTTTATATCTTGATACTTCTTTCCGTCGCTGATTTGTTTTAAAAGTAGCGGACGCTTCCATCGACGCCAACAGTTTTGGATGATAAGATAGCAGTAGGTTTTTGGATTGACAATGCCTGTACCCGGTAGCGGAGTCCCTGTGAAGATAGATCAGCAAGGTCTAAGAAACCTTGGAAACGTTCGATTCACCAGAATCACGACTCAATAAGTGAGACATGAGCAGTTGGCCTCCTGCAGAAGTGTGTCGATCACAAAAAAAGGGAGCCCAATCACGCAGTCGATAGAACCGCTCTTGCACCAACAGAGACCATGTCGCTGGCCGCCAACTTTCCACGCAACCAGATCCTAACCGATGTAGACCACGTGAATGTACCCAGGGTTCCCAGTTATAAACACACTAATGGTAAATGTTTGTTTTCCCCGGGGCTTTCATTGCTCTTCCTCTCCTTGCCCACAGTCCTCAGCTGAATTCCTGATTATGCCGCCCTATCAAACAGAGAAAAAGCACCAATGTGCTATCTGCAAGGAACGATTCAGTACCAAAGAAGGTCAGCGACAACATAGGCGCGCAAAGCACTTTGATGAGGTTCCTGCTCAATCGACTAGAACTGCTGGACTTGTACATCCTCTTGCGGTTATTGCCCAGCCAGCCAGAGCCGCCGAACCTGTCCGCCCACGTCCGTTGGTAGTACATCTGCCAACCAGAGCCAAAAGACCTGAGACCCCTGAGCTGCTCATGACCCAGCCAGTGAGAGCTACCGAAACTACTACGCCTATGCACACCATATACAGGGGCAACATGTACTCGCCAGCAGTCGGACGAGATGCTATTTGGAGCCAAATCTCGGATCTCTGTCACTCAGAAGAGAGACTTCGAAAGGAAGGATATCCTCTGTCGACTGCTATGATCAATGCCACGCACGGCTCATCCAGCATGGCGTCGAGGATTGATCGTCCGTGTCCTGATAAAGTCAAATCGATTTCAAAGTATGCCGCTCTCGTCATAGACTGCGAGATGGGCGGTACCGAAGGAGGCGAAAATGAACTCATTCAGATCACTATTCTCGACTTCCTGACTGGCAACGTGTTGCTAAGCCGCCGGCTTGTAAACCCAACAAGACCAATCCTAGACTGGCGTGAGAATGTCACCGGTCTAAACGCGAACAAGATGTCCGCAGCTCTCCTACGGAACGAAGCTTTGGACGGTTGGAAGGCCGCACGCGCTGAACTTTGGCGCTACTCTGACAAGAGCACGATCCTCATCGGGCAGTCAATCCATAATGACCTGCGAGTGCTGCATACTTCTCATGCGAGAATCATTGATTCCGCCATCATCACTGCAGATGCCGTCCTCGGGGCGGAGTCGAAGATTACGAAGAGGTTGGGCTTGGAGGTGCTGTGCAAGGAGCTGCTTGGCATCCAGATCCGTTGTCCGATCTGGGCGGCTGACGGCGTAGCACACGATGATTTGGAGGATTGTCTGGCGACCAGGGAATTAGTGTTATACTGTGCCCAGAATACGGATCAGCTGGAGAGATGGGCTCAAAGGACGAGAATATCCTTCTTGAAGATAATGACGAAGACAAATAAGAAGAACAGGGGAAGTAAGCCACAAGCTGGGAATGCGTCGTCTGGTGGACCCTCCAGGCAAATCGTATTCGTGAGAAGTGCGGCGCCCGAGGATGAATGGGAGGATGAAGACTGAAGTCTTTTGAGGGGGGAATATGTGTTGGACTGGGATACATGGCCGAAGTCGCCACCAGACTCAGATTAAACCTGAAATGCCAGATCCTACGACTACTTCATCACCTCCAAAGAACAATTTGTCTAGCATGATAAGCTGACTTGGTTATCAGACGCAATGTTCTCGACCTGAATAGCAGGCGGAATGTTCAAGAAATAACAACAGAGATCTTATGCAAGTACTTTAGTCAAATAGTCATAATGCATCAAATTTAAATCTAGACCGTATGCCTTTAACCCAGTGGTGTTGATTCCCCTCTGAACGGCCGCTGCACCGAATCCCTCTTTGAATCATCAATCTTCCAAACGCCTTTAGTATGCTTGTCATGTAATTCCCAATTTACGCCCTTTGCCAACCGATGGAAAACCTCGTGTTCCTCACCAGGAATACTCTTGAAGAACAACGGCTCCCATGTCTCGCCCTTCTTCTTTTCTTCCGCCCTCATCCGCCGCTGCGCCTCTTCGACCTGGCTCTTTGCGCTGACCGTCTCGCGGAAGTCATTCTTGCTGAGCCCTTGAATGACGCCGCTCCACGCGCGTCTGGACTCCCACGGATCTTGGGTCGCAATCGGCTCCATCTCCATTGGCGCTGGCAGGTTCTCCAACGCGTCGACCTCGTACTTTTCGAGGATTTCCCCTGTCCTTCCGTCCTTGACTGTCCAGCCTTCGCTCCAGCATCCTTGGAGCTCGTAAATTGTGTTCTTCTTGTCGTTCTTGTGGTACATCCTCGCCTCGAATGAGTTCTTTTTGCCTCTAAGGAATCCGCTGCCAGAGAATTTGATCTCTGAGATGTAGCCCGTGTTGGAAACGATGTAATATGTTCCCAAAACCTCTGGGTAAAGACACGCGTTGAGGAAACCCCGAACCTTGACCTCTGGCAACGGAATCAGGTAATCCTCGTTGTATCGATCAATGTGAACGACAGCATGGCCAATCTGTCGAATGTTGACAGTACTCGAGAACGTCATCTCCACCCTCGCATACCCGTCCGCGCGGATCCCGTGCTCCTTGCTACCCATGTGCATCGCCGTGATGGGCGGATGATGGCTAACCTGCTCCGCCACGAGCTCCGTCCTTGCCTTCCGATCGGAATCCGTCCACGAAGCGAGGAACAGCTCACCCAGGAACGCGTTGAGGGGCTTCTTGATGCTAACGTTTGGCGCGCCGGCGACATAGAACTGGCTGCGCATGGCGATGAGGATCATACGTAGCACCTTCAAGCTGCGCTTCTCTGGGTCTGATTCCAGTGCCGGGGCGACGAAGACGCCTGGCCGCTGGCACCAGCAGTGGCCGACCTCGACCACTGACGATGGTGCCAAGAAAGAAGGCGGCGCGGTGACATTTGAGAGGTCTCCTTGGACAGAGGAAAGGAACTAGAGCGGTTTGTTGTTAGCGGGTTTGGTTCTTTTGGGAGTGCTTCAATCATGTGGTGGAACCCTTGCTGATGGGCAACCAATGGTTCTGGAATGCGGTGCTATTTACCTTCACGAGATCGCTGATCCGTGATGAGAATGATTTTGTGTCCATTTTGCTGTGTTTTTGTATGATTTCCGTCTACGATTCGTCTTCCGTACTTTCCCTCTTCTGAATGATCGCTTTTTGTTGTTGTCGTTGTTATTAATGAGATATGAAAGGGCTAGAGGCCTATGAAATGGCCAAATGTCTTGACTCTGCCAGGAGAAGTTTGTTTCAGCGCCGTTTCAGTCGACACTGGGCACGTCCAAAAGGCTTCAGCAAATCAGTGGAGTTGAGTGACAGAAACAATAAGAGGCTGGATAGATCAACGTAAAGTAACAAGGAACAGAACACACTCGAGACCGATTCTGTCGAGGGAGGGGTTGGGAACGCTGCTTCTTTTGAGATAAGAGGCCCTCAGTCCCCATCTTCAGACTAGCATGTGAAAGGGTCGTACAGTCTCGTAGTGTGCCATTACTCCATTGGCACATACCAAGAGCTCTCTAGAGAAACCAACCCCGGTCTCACCCGCTGCCCCGTCACCCGCGCGATGACCGCCATGCAGACTCTTGTCTCTTGCTGTCTGCAGTCGAGACCAATCCCCCGTCCCGTCTGAAAAACGCGGCCGCGTTTCCCCCCTGCTCAGCCCTCGCTCGGCGCTGCGCCTCCCGGGGGGCTCGTGCTGTCGTGCCGCCGGCGCAACAACGTCCCGCCAGGGCCATCCACGTCTTCGGATCGGACGAAATGGCCGCCAGCTGGCGGATCGTCTGTCTCGCCGAGTCTCTTTTTGAGTTTCTTGTTCAGACGACTCAGGTTCACTGTCTCTCCGGAACAGAAACGGCACGTCGCGCACCCAGAACCACGGGCACGCCGCACACTGACCCTGGCAACCCTCGAAATGCGCGCACACGAGATGAGGAGAACCTTAGTTTATTGAAGCTTGAGGAACTGGAGGGAGCTAAAACCCGTCGGACCGCAACTACAACACAGTTAGACACCGGCGCTAGGGCATAGGGCAGATACCAGCGCTGCATGTTTCCTGACGAGTTCCCCTCATGCGTCCAATCACTGAAACACACTTGTCCCGACCGTCTCTACTTGTTTGGCCCCAAAGTGTTGAGCTTGCGGCCTGCCTCAAACCATGAATTGCGCTAACTACCTCAAAGTGCATGTAGTCTATTGAGCAAGTTACCATTCCCTTACCCATCTTCTTCAGAGCTCCTCGGAAATCTGTTGGCCCTGACTCTCTCGAGTAGCGTCAATCACGTAGTAGTCCTTCACCAATGCGGTCCCGTCCTCGACCGTCTTCCACACATCCTCGGGGCACGTCTCGGGCTTGAGGACATAGCAAATCGGATCCGGCTCCTGGGGCGGGATGTTCTTGATGTGCCACGTGTCCTTGACGCCGATCGTCGACAGCTCGTCCGTGACGGGGATGAGTCCCGTCGCGATGTCCCGGTTGAACGTCGCCCGCATAAAGATCTCGTACGCCGTCACGGGCTGATAAGACGGCACCTCGTGGCCGGCTTGGTAGACGCGCGAGAAGCTGTAGTTGCCGAACTGGCGCGTCATGCCTGTCACACCATCGGGGGTGATGAGCGGGGCGTACCCGGCGTTGGCAAAGTCTATCGATCGGTTGTAGGGGATCGCCAGACTAGCCTTCTCGCCGCCGACCCAGTTGCAGGCGTAGTCGCGATCTCCATCTTCACACAATAGCATTAGAAACAGTATGCAATTTTCAAAAAATTGTGACGATCAAGACTCACACATCATGTGAACTTTAACTCCGCTATCGAGGAGATACCCGATTGACTCCCCAAATCCACCCAGGATCATATCTATAACAGCAGATCAGTATAACGTTCACCTGAAAGCACGAAGCTCTCGCTAATGGGAATGTAACCATCTTACCGAAAGTATGCTGGAAGCTGATGCCCACTGCCCCGGATGATTCCGAGTAGTTCACAGGCACGCCAAGAGACGACAAAACCTCGCCCTCGGTGAGATACCCGTACAAGTGCGGGGCCGGGAAAGGGTCATATTTGCTGTGTCCGATATCATACCAGCCCCTTCCGTCGGCTTTGCTCTGGTAGATTTCGACGGCGTTGAAGCCGCACTCGGTGAGGAAGTCGCCGCAAATTTCAGTGTAGTTCTTCTTGACACCGTTGGCGACCAGCGGTCCATGTTCTTTGAGAGCTTCCTGGCAGTCGAGAATTCGGTCTTTGCAACCGTCTGGGCGGGTCCAGTTGTGCATCAACGCATCGTAAACCGATTCGTTGAAAATTTGCATTCCATAGGTCTGAACAGATAGTCAGCATGGTTGCTCATCTCATGCACCTAGATGATCTAGATCATATCAAAGTGTAGGAATTACGCACGTTATTATACGGGAACGTGATCCAAGTCTCACCTTGGATCGACAGGTCAATGAGACCGTTGACGATTCCAAGCGTGTCAAGGTGGATATACTGGGCATTCTCCTCGGGCGAAGAGCCATTCTGGATCAATTCGTTCTGCGTCTGGAAGTGTCGGAAGATACCAGGCGCATAGTGTCCTCCGTACGACTCGGCCCACAAGCTAACCCGGTCGTCAATGGGCTTGTAGCCAGGGAACTCAAAGAACCACGTCTGCGCAAAGTGCCACAGAGCGTGCGCAGCATGCGCCGTGGTGTTCGATGTCTGCGATAGCTTCTGGCTGGATGCCGTGCCGTAACGGTAGGTGTAGTTGCCCTCGGGAATTCCGTCGCTAAAGTCGGCGGGGAACATGCCCCATGGCCCATTCTCAAAGTTTTCGTCGGCGTGGATGGTGACGTTGGTTGGGATGTCGTAGGAGAAACCAACCTGGGTCGGTTGGTCGATGTAGAGGAGGTTGACTTCATTGTTCCAGCTCCATGGGTTCAGACGGGTCGTCTTGGAGTCTTCATTGACGAAGCATGGCCCGTTTTCTTCGAGGAGGCCCATGATGGAGGAGCCTCCCGGTCCGCCGTTGAGCCAGATTGCCAAGGGGGCATTCTCCGGAGCTTTGCGCGCTTCAAAGAACCAGAAGAATCTGAGAGAGTCAGTCAAGTCTGGTCCAATTGATGTCAAATAGAACTGGGAGAGGTTTTCTACGTGTTGATTGGGTAGTCCTGAGCCTCCCCGTCGACGTCATTCAAAGTTCCCGACGGTAGCTGCACGTATCCGGCGTACGACTTGACTCCGGGCGTGGTCTCACAGATACCAGGCTAGAGGGAAAGAACCTCACTTAGTCAAGCGTACCAGAGACTATCGAAAACAATGTGCGCTCACCTCTTTGTACGAAATAGTGACATTTTCGTGAAATTTAGACTTCAGGACCTTGATCCCCTCGGGTGTGGGCGGGAACTGCGCGGCCGCGAGACCGGCGAGCCCGACAAGTGCGATTGAGGCGGAGGACAACATCTTCACAAACACAACTCACGGGATCAAACCGCCATTGACTCTCTTTCGACGTGATGGATGACTATGACCGTGTATTTATCGGAAGAGAGGCTAATGGATCAACCTGTCTCGCATGACGTGACGCGTTGCACACGTCCTGAAGGATCGCGAGAACGACGACAGGTGGGGTCAGAAACTCAGATAAACCTCTATCCCGAGCTTCTGATTCGACCAGAACTTTGACCTTCCTATCTCGGCCGGCGTTTAGACCTGATCGGCTTCGCGGCACGGGGCGGCACGGAGCAATTATCATTCAGCATCACGGAAATCTAGCTTTAAATGGCTAATGCTGACATTTTTGACGTTGCAGAGTTGTGCCAACTTCAAGACCGACAATGTCAGCCGTCTAACCGGATCAGCTTGCCTCTTACTTTCTATGATTCGTTGTTACAATAGTTTTCTTATAAACAAGATCTGTTGAATTGACACCAGACAATTGAATCATTCCGGTCAATTAATACCTTCTATGTAACTTTCTGAGAGCGGCTCCGAGCATATTCTGAGAATAGAAAAGAATCTGAACTTCCCACAACTCTTGTTTTCGATATCATCATCTAGGACGCTCGAGGTGGGGTTCGAAAATCAGGAGTCTTTCTTCCCGGACTAAAATTTGAGAGCCGACAACGTTTAATTACATCGCTCCGAGGCTCGGGGAGATAGGGCGCCGGACATTTGCTAGCGACTGCTTGCAATAAAATGGACCCTCTAAGCAATTGTCTTCGCGAAGGCCCATAATGAAAAATCTTAATTAATCAACATTAATGCACCGATTTTACATTGTTCGCAGGATTCAGGTTGACTCTCCGCCGATCCATCTTGTCCCCCACGCACTTAGCGTCTGATTCTTCCCACCGCATCCGCTGGCGCTCTTCTGAACTAGGAACTCCTTGACCTTTTGTGCCAGAAGTTCATGCACATGGTATGTAATGTGACCCGAATTATACCAGAAGTACTCGTAAATCGGCTGACACCCGTATGCGGCATAGTTTGTATCGATATCCCAGGCCTTGTAGCTAGGGCAGAAAGAGCTCGTATTGGTGAACCCGTACGATGCCGCATTATCAAAAACTTGTGTAAGCCAGCTGTACGTGTCGAAAACCAACGCAGTCGCGTCAGGGTGCTTCTCTGAGAACGCCTTTGCGGTCTGGTTGACTACGCCGTTGAATGTCTTGATCATGTCTGTGTTTGGGAGACGGGCTGGGTTGAGTTGCGATGCGGGCTGTGGCAGGGTCAGTAATGAATCTTGAAACGGTTGTTGAAATAACAACTAGGGCCGGTTTTGACGTACGTTCTTATCGAGCGGAGGTAAGTTCAAGAACAGGAAGTTGCGATGCCCGGCTTCATATACCGTCTCCAAGGCTGCAAACTGCTCCGCGATGACTGCAGTGTACAATTCATCCCAGCTGTTCAGCCCGTTGATAGGGAACTGGAAATTGGCCATGTCGTTGATGTCATTGATTCCAATGTAGGAGGCCACGAGTGACTTGGTCGGATCGGCGTTAATAACCGACTTGCCGTAGGTATCCCATTGTTCGACCTGCTTCTCATACGAGATGGTATGATTCCAGTGCAGCGGCACGCTGTAATATTGTTAGCTTCATCTCATGCGCTTTGCGTCGAATCAGCTGAGGAGTTCTCACAAGTTAGTCGAAATATCAGCTCCGGCGTATGCAAATCCCCATAATTGCTTCTCGCAGTCCCGAGGGTGGCCCTCTCTGCAGCCAGTGAGCTCTTGAACCCAATTAGGCCCGCCGGCAGAAGACGTGTTCTGCCCCGGAACAATGCGGTCACCGAGGAGCTGCTCGGGTGTGAAAGAGATGTTCAGCTGGGATCCGATGAAGCTGTATGCCCAGCGACCTTCGGTTCCTTGGACGAATGTATAAGAGTCGCCGAATGTGAGTCTGAGCCCCTTCCCGCGTCAGTGATTTCAAGTAAACGCGTGTGTGGATCTTCAGAACTCACACATATTCCGTATTTCTCCAGCTGAAAGGAGTTCCAACATCGACTGGTGAAGCAATCGCAACTGCTGCTACCCAGCTGAGCAGGTAGGCCCTCGAGACAATCATCGCGACAATTCACCAACGTCGAGTCGCTACCAGAAACCGGAAAGCTGGAAACTTATCACAACGCGCATGACATTATCAGATGGATCACATCAGTAGGTAGACTTATAGGGCAACATCTCGACCCCTGAAAGCCCTCCGCCCCTCCATCTTCCCCGCTTCAGAGCCAGATGCAAGCTTTGAAAGGTAGACGCAACTGAAATGAAATGCCACCCGTGAAAACCGGTGGAATGGCGCAAACACCACCTAAAATTGCGGCTCGCAGGGGACGGCTCCCCATCGTTCCAGGGGATTGGGAGAGTGATTGGGCGGACTTTTTCGTCTCCACCAGTGAGCGTGGGGGGAGCCTAGCATCCCATCGGGCGTTCGCTGAATCGCTTCCCGAGCTCACCGGATCTGCGGATAGAGTTTCTGGGGTAATCAATACTGGCCTTTGGGGAAAGGGGTCAAAATTCAATTGCATTATGTACTTGGTGTCATTAATATTAGGGTCTAGAAGGTAAAATGTCTAAGTGTTCATAGCTTTTTGCTGATTGCAATGGTGATTAATAGGCGTATCATGATCGTTCGGAAGATTGAGAAACCCTTGTTCTCGGCAATAGCTCCAGTCGTCTACCAGAACATCCAGCCGGCTGCAGCGACTAGAACCAAGGAGCCCCGCATCATCAAGCGCTCAGCAGATCCGCTGCTCGGTGTAGCAGTTGGAGTGTTGACGCCCGCACTCAGTGTGGGTGCTATCACTGGAGTTGATGCCATTGTGGTGGCCACCAGGACAGATGAGCTGCCAGATGCCGATGGCACTGAAGACTGAGTTCCCGCTCCGCCGGTAACAGTGACTGTAACGGTGGGGGCAGCGGACGTGGATGTTGTCAACTTGATGCCGCATACTGCGTCTGTGTCAAATGTGAAGGGCATATTCCTCGCTTCACATTCGAGAGTCTGTCGCTGAATGGAATCTAGACAGTACTCCCGTCAGTGCTAATCTAGCTTCACGCCAGTCGGAGATATTTACCGGGCAATACAGAAGCGGCGCATTTCTGGGCCATGCAGCAGAAGTATCTCTCACGATACTTTTGCTGGGTGCACATGCATGCAGCATCATTTGTGCAAGAGCCCCCGGGGAAACTGCCGAAGAAGCAGCCATTCTACGTCGCGGGGATATCAGAACCTGATAAAACGTTGGAGAATTTTCATACTTACATCGCACTCAGCGTTCCGGTTTTGTTCCTCCTGGTCAAAAGGAATCCCCATTGCCACGTTGGCACCAAGGCCAACCAATGCCAGGGCAGTAAGGAAGCGTGACATGGTTACAATATGGGTGAATAAACGAGTGACAGTAACGTAGCGAGCGACGGTAGCTAGTGACAAGAGCGAATTAATATGGAAAGTAAACGAAGTCCGTGATCTCAAACCAAGAAAAAAATTCACCAGAGAACGCGAAGATGTCGTCTATTCATACTCTAACGAGATGCATTGACGAAAGACAAAAGTCCCAAATTCTCGGACAAGTTTATTGCTGTGCCGCTAGAAACGTTGCGTCGGTAAATTTCAGCTCACGTTGCCTAGCCGGATCTAGGTGGTCGGTTCGTGTTTTCACCCAGGGGACTATTTTTGAATCTCACTGCAGACTAGCGCAACCGCCTTTGGTTGACACTGGCAAATCGAATGATGCCTGCTTACTCGGCAACTTGAATGGATGCTACCCTGGATATTGCGACCTGGACGTGCTGTGTGGTTTTGGCCTCATCTGAAGGCGGTGAACTCTTGCGCTTCCAGCTGATATCTTGAGAGGGGATACACCTGTGATTAATGACCTACCTTATGGTTCGCGAAAGGGCCTGAAGAAAGTCACGATGCACTCAAAGCAATAGACCCGAATGAGGCTTGGTAGCTCTGACCACCTAATTCAGACATAACATGATTCCGCCTTTTAAACTTATTTACATTCAAGCGCCATGCTGTTTCGCGCCCTCCTGCGGACTAAAGTCAATGAAGCCATCTTCCATGCCGATTCTTATTAGTTTCCCGTCCCCGAACCATTAAACTCCCGGTATAGATAGCTCATCTACCAATTGAAACATAATACAAGTCTCACAGCGAACGTCGTACCGTCGAGACACAGACATATCAGCTGCGAGAAGCCCACGTTCAAGATTCTACGGCAAGGATCTAGCCCCTTCTAGAACAGAACCGCCAGGGAAAAGACAATCCTCACTCAATGTTATTGTACGGGCTGCTGTCTGTGGCGGCCTCTAGTGCAAGACTCCAATTAGAGTACTTGCTCATGCAATGGTTTAGTATTTCCTCTTTGAAACTTTGTCGGATGTCTTCATGCGTAACTTCTTGCCGAAGATGAAGAGAATCGGAATACCGGTCGAGACGACTAGGAGCATGATGGACAGATAGACTGTGAACTTCATGGGACCTGTCAAAAAGCATTCTTCGTTAACAAGATGTGCAACACTCGGAGCGAAATTCAGACCTACCTAATTCTTGAAGCCAAGTTGTCACCTGTGTGTTAAGAGGAAAGGATATGAATACACGTAGAGTCGAGACGTTTACCAGCACGGGACCAGCCCACTGGGGATAACTCTCAATGACATAGTTTTGCACAATTGGCGCTGTGATCAAGGTTGATGTCATAAGAAAGAAGGTCCCGAGCAGCAAGACGGCGTAATGTAGGTGGTTCTGGTCGGCGTACCCAAACACTAGAGCACCCGTGATGGCGAAGAAAATGGGCAGGATGAGATTGGGAAGCTGGTGTTCGGCTTCACGGCCACCCTTCTTCTTCGAGATCCAGAGAGACACTGAGTCGGCGACTGGTCCACCGACGACGAATATGACGATAGTTGACAAGATCTGGGGAATTTGCGAAAGACCGGTGAGTTCGAAAGGAACGCTATTGTTGAAAAGAAATGCATTAGTATTCTGGACCCAGGACGAACTACAGTGATAAATGCTTACCCAGCAGCGAGAAGAGCGAATGAGGTCGCCTGTCCTGTCGCACCCATGACCATTCCAAATGCAACCTGCAATAGAGTGCACCACAAGACAGCGGGGAACATTGTAGTCTTGAGAGTGGCAATGATCTGGAGGCCGGCATCCTTCCAATGAGTTCCGCTCTGGAAGAACCCAAGGTCATCCCATCGCGTACGCGCTCCGTATGTGGCGTAGTCTAGCTGAGTACGGTCCTCGCCCGCAGCTATGGGCCACAGCTGGTGTCCGGCAAGCTCTGCTTTAGATCTCTGTCTAAGTGTCTCGGGGACAAACAGGATGAGCATGATCCAGGTCAGGACGCCGACGGCGGATGTGATCCAGTAGATCCATCGCCAGTCCCAGTTGACAGCAATGTACGGACCAAGGATTCCGAAGAGCATAATCATTGGGCCCTGTGTCAAGATGTCAGTTACTTGATATGGTTAATCCTTACCGCTACTCGTGGGGTTTGAATAGTTGATGGTATGACGTCTCAGATGGCATAAACCTACCTGACTGGCAATGATGGACGCCACAGCTTTGTTTCTCTTGTGAAGAAACATCATGTCCTGGACAATCAAAGGAAGCAAGGCCTCGACAGCACCGGATCCAAGACCATGAAAAACTCTGGCAGCAATATGGCTTGTAAGTGACTTGCTGTATCCGGCCCAGAATCCTCCGCCCCAGGAGAAAGCCGACGTGAGGATGAGTACCGGACGTCTACCGATGGCAGCCGTAAGAGGGACCAAGAGATACGTAGCAACACCATTACTGAGCATGGGAATGGTCGCCAGAAGAGAAACAGACGTCAGAGAGACTGGAGTCACGCCGGGTGGCACAATGGCAAGAGGGTTTGGGTTGCCTTTGAGATCGGCATGCTTGAGAGTTGAAGCTGGATCGACTCCAGAGTACTCGAGGATGAACACGGGCAGGAGACCAGCGACAGCGATCTCGGCAGCAAGCGAGACGGAGCCGACTATGTGTCGTTAGAGAGGAACGTTCCACCCAAGTTAGCTAGGAGAAGCTTACAGAAGCATAAGGAAGCGACGGCAAGCCACTTGCGCCACTCAGGCAGATTGAGAGGATCCTTGGGATCCGGAGTAGGAGTCTTGATAGTCACGGTCAGTCTCCCAATGCATTTCGGATCCATTCGCGGTCCTTCACTCACGGGCACAAGCCGGATATTGCCATCCTTATCATAAATCTCGGTACTCCCAAGCACTTCCTCTTCATGAACGGCAGCCTCCTGCTTCTCAGCTGTGATCGTATCGATGGAGTCGATCCTCGCGAGCCCTCGTCCGCCTTCCTGCAGAGTCTGCATCGGATATCGCAGGGATGCTGGGTTTAGCGCCTGGGAATGTCGAAAATCCACGACGCTGAATGGGATAAACATCTGCGAGCTGCGCTTGGCGTACTTATCGATCCTCGATTCTCGTCTACCGCCACTGACATTGCTGAAGTCGATTGGGACGAGAAGCCCATCGTTTTTGTTGTCGTTCATGATTTTTTTGAGTTTGAATTAGGGAGAAAGTATAAAGGTTAACGTCAATAAGAAAGGGGGTTGAAACAGTCGCCTCGAAAATAGGAGAAAAAAAGTCAATGGCAAAGACACGGACGGTATTTTTCGCGTCCGGAAGTCTCCAGCCAGCGAAAAGGGAATTAAATGAGCGAAGGAATCGGACAAGAAAGCATCGAAAAAGGTTGGGAGGAAGAATCCGGACCGGCCGTTTGGAAACTAAGTTGTCCTGATATCAGTATTTGATCTCTTCATTGAGGACTGGGACGCGCATTTGCTTTCGAATGAGGAAGGTAGCAGACGGAAACGTTTGGATTGAAATTGCAGAGGCAAGACGGGGCATTTTTTACACGCGGCAGACTAGTGCAGATCATCGGTAAGGCGCCCCCACGTACCTTGTGTTGCGTGGTATTTTCGATCTCGTCCAGACATCTGGAAGTTCTCTCCGATCATCTTCACGTTGTCATGAAAAATCCCTCCTTATATGAAGTAATTGTTGGAAACATGTTACCAAGAGACCCGGGATTTCCAGGAACCTCAAGCCAGCCTCCTGGTAAAACGAGAGTCTCATCAGGATCCGTTCCAAGACATTTGATGGGATGACAGCAAATGTTGTTTATAGATGGCGGTACCAGGAAAGTGATCATGCCAAAACATCCAATAACGGTCCTCTCCGTGACCTCTTTTTGGTATTTTCTGCGTTCACGGATTATCCGGTGGCATCAAAAGTCGAGATGAAGCTCTGGGCCCAGTGACCTCCCCCACACATCCCCAAGATCATGTGCAGTGAAGTACTCTGCGATTCTCACGCGGCTTGTGGATACATGTAGATGGGATGGGCCGTGAAACAGCAGCCTTCATTTCAGTCGTCCCATGTTTCTATAGTCGGCGATGCTCTTGCAGCGGAAAAGAGGGACAATGGCATGAGGAGATGGCAGAACCTGCGGGCCCTATGCTTGTTCTGACGGAAAAAGATGAGGCTCAAAAGCGCGTTGTGTGAGGTGCCACATTTATGCATTTCGACGTGCGCCTGTCGACAGTTGGTTTTACCATTGCTTTGGCTGTAAGATCATCGCCTTGTTGACCGGACGTCATGAACGCGCAATCTGACGAGGAAGAAAGCAAAGACGATGAGTGTCCCAATTTAGTAAAACTTGTTACATGGTTCGTCATGTCGGGTGCGAGTCCCTAGCAATTGAGAGTCTCGAGTAGATCGAGAAGAGTTCTAGAAAGTCTCAAGATTAGGGCATGCTTTATCTAGGAATAGGTCAAATGTCTGGTTGTTGGTGTGGTTGGCAAAGAAGATCATTCGATTGGTTGCTCCTCAAAGTCTGATCAAAAAGCCCCGAAACCTTTCGAGTCTTCGGGGCATGAGAAACTGGGATAGGGCTGTCAACAGCATGGGCCGTCGAAAACCAAAAGCTGGACTCTGGAGCCCGTGCCTGGACGCGCCGAACCGGCGGCCGTTGTTAATTGACTTTCGATTTCCCAGTTTCGATGAAGTCTGACTTTGAGTTTTGATTTCTCTCGGTACCTTACCTCATCTCACCAAGCGTCGTTAAGCCAATTCGGCCACCAAATCATAAGTGCCAACTCTAGATACTAGATGCGAAATTCTGTTGCAAAGTATAGTCACAGCACTTGCAACTGGAGCTGAGGGGGAGGGCATAGGCCTCACCCGGAACGCCCATGCTTCTTCCCCGCTAAGCTCTCGACGAAAGCAGGGCTTTGCTGTCACAACTGTCTGTTTCTGTTTCGGACAAGTATCCACATCCCGTCTCGGAAGGAGTTTATGCTGTAGATCACCCACTTCCCGTGTCAATGATGACAAACCCCAGCGATGGAGGGATTGAGTGAGACGCTGCGAGTTTGGTAAACTTCGCGACGCGAGACCAACAGCAACGCTTTCGACACGATACGAATTCATAGCGACCGTTTGAACATACCGTACAATCCTCACATCGCACCCGCCATGAAGAGAGGCGACTCAGATGATCTCGTGAGTAATAAATCAAACCGAAGTTCTATACATTTCCGATCAAGAAGAAGAGTTCCATCAGTATTGACAAGGACCATAATTAGGAACGTCTGCTGTTATGTCCATATTTTCATACCATCTTAGTAGAGGTAGACTAGGTCGACCCAAGATGGGTGTAATGGTCTTTAGGTCCTGATGAGCATATTGTCTGTCTGTTCGCGACTGCACAGGACCCTATGATACATAACCAGAGTCTTTTACTATAAACATCGTGGGTTTGTCGGTAGAATCCTAGGTCTCCTCAACTCATTTCACATCTTGCGACTTTGCCCAATATCTTGTGGAAATTGACTCTGCATTCCGTTCAAGCTTTCTTACTGACACCCTGTTCCCTAAAGCTGGTGCACTTCTGGCTTTCTCAATCTTCAATATCTTCTGACGGTACAGGCCTTGACGGCCCCTCGCCGACTGTGGATCCGATCTGCAGGCCGAGTTCTTATCGGATCCGGCGTGAATCACCGTTCAAATGCCGGCATGACGTAAGACTCGCGCTGTTGCATCTCCTGAGTGTTAGGCAGCCGTTGGATAAAGCCCTGCGGGCGGCATCGAATTAGTCCTCTCATGTCATTGGTTTAATATCGAAGCTACAAGGCCAACTTCAATGTGGACACGCTGCGCCTTTGAAGGAAGGGCGCTAGCAAGGTAAGCATTTTTGGCGCAGTACTTATTAGAGACATGTCTTCCCCATTCGTTTAAGCACAAAAGTTCCAAGTTGTTGACCTTTCGTAGTCTGTGGTGGCTGAGCGGCTCGCAACGGGCTGCGTAATTTTGACCTCGTATTCCCTAGTATTTGCGACCTGAAGCTCATTCCTGCCGTCGTCGGATGTCTTTCATATCTCGTACGGAGTAATAACCTTTCAAAACCCGGGGTTGCTTCCTTTATACAGCATACAGCAATGCTCACCATGATTGTCGACACAAGTTCTCCGCCCAAAAGAACCCGGGAAAGCACATCCAAAGTCCGAACCGGGTGCAGCACCTGCAAAGCTCGTCGCGTAAAATGCGATGAAGCGAAGCCCGTTTGTCGACGGTGCACCGTCGGAAGCCGGAAATGCGAGTACAAGTCGACAAGTCCAGCACGATCACCCCGTCATAACGTGATCACCGTTTATGTTCCCCCTACGAAAAGTCAGCCAGCCTTCTTCGAAAACACAAGTGGCCTTGATTTCTTCCACACCAACATTGGCACGATCCTTGACGGACAGTTTGATTCAGAGTTTTGGAGGAAGCTTGTCCCACAGTTATCACACTCTGAGCCGTCGATCCGACATGCAGTGTCGGCAGTTAGTGCAGTTTATCGCGATGTAGAGTCATCATTGCGGCATCCATCAGGGTTTGTGAAGGCCAATCCCGAGGCACAGAGAGAATGGAAGCTCGCACTGAAGAGCCTCTCAGCTCGAATTCAGACAAATCCAAACTCCAATTTGGTACCTTTGGTCTGCTGTCTTCTGTTCACATGCATCGAGTTCCTCAGAGGCGATGCCGACTTATCAATGCTTCACATCCACAACGGGTTCAACATTCTGGCCCCCCTCCGACCCAACAGTGGCGCCACCCCGGAGACAGGGTCAAGCCCCCCCTGCAACGATCTGAAAGTAATTGAGGATCACATCTTTCCGATGTTCTCTCGCCTGGGCATCCTCTCCTGTCTGGCTGGTAGGTTTACCCCGCCAGTCTACATGCATACGGACGAGGATGATTCTCCCCATAAGGACTTTGAGGACGCTAGACGGCGGATATTCGCTATCGCTGACAACTGCATTCGGTTCATCAACTCGGTTACCCCCAAAGCAGACACGCTCCTTGTGGGTATTGATGACCTTGTCGAGCAGGCCAAGCTGCAGACAAGACTAGACGTATGGCTCAGGCAGTTCGATGAGCTGTTGGAACGGCTGCAGTCTGTCGGCAACACGCCCAGTCCAGACGCGGTCAACATCCTTCTCGTAAACTACAAGGTCGTCTACATTTGGATACGAGTCTGCACTACATCTCAGGAAACAGACACAGATGTCTACCAGTCAGACTTTGACGAACTGGTGACCTATGCAGAGCAAGTCATCAAGCCAGGCAAGGTACAGGCAGCACCACAACTTCTGTCGTTCGACGTCCAACTCCTGGCACCGCTATTTTACGCTGCGCTGAAATGCCGTCACTCCTCAATACGAAGGCGTGCCCTGGAACTGCTCCGTCTAGCACCTCGACGAGAAGGTTTATGGAACGCGCATCACGCATACCTCACCGCCAAGCGCATAATCGAGCTGGAAGAACAGAATCTAGGGGGAGAAGGATCATTACCCGACGAGGCATCGAGACTGTTCGGTCTCCCTCTGCCAGATGACCAGTCGCGGGTCTATAACCTGTGCGAGCTGCCCTTTGACTTTCGGACTTTCGATCATAACGTGGTGGCTAGCCCAATGTGCCCAGGCACGCTTGAGGCCAAGTTTCAGACCAGACCAATGGGTGTGTTTGGAGAATTCCAGAATTTCACGGAATACATCAAGTTATGATATGGGGGATATCTATCAATTGCGCCCATATCTTCTATGTTCTAGAGCCTTTCTCCAAGTTATTATACAGCCGGTACTTTCCTTGTCTTCAATCCAGTCCTATACTCCAGTCCAATCCACAGTCCATGTTCATTACTCCACCTGTTACTAGAGACTCAAACAACTCTCAAATCCGTGCATGTGCCCTCTTCTGAACGATCTCAAGCATGATTGCCTTGAATCTCCTCCATGGACGAGCTGCTCATTTCAAAGGCAGCCTTCCTGGAGTGCTTAACAGACCAAGCCGCGCTGCTCCACTGACCATCAAATCCAATACCGGGATGGAACACCGTTACCGCGAGAATTGCCAGGAAAATCATGGGCCCCTCCAAGATCATGAAAGACACCTCGTCATTGGCAATAGGCCCGTTAAAGCCCTGCTGCAACTCCGCAACACGATAAACCGAGCGGATGAAGACAAGCAGAACAGCCGCCCCGAGCGCCCACTGGAACAAGAAGAACTTCTTCGTCGACCTGAGCTCAGCGAAGCGTGATCCACCCTTGTTGCCCTCGGTCGTCTTGCGGAGGCGGAAGACGAACTCTAGCCACAGGAGCATGAAAACCAGCAAGGATACGACTTGAAACACGACACCCGCGACCATCATTGCTCTGCCTGTCTCGCTGCCGGAATGTGTGTTTGCAGTAGCTGCGATACCACCACCGGCGCCCTGTAGAACGAGTGAGATAAAGTCGCTCGTCATGAATGTGATTGCGTAGGTGCGAGGGCTGAAGCGAGAGATGTGCTGGCCGTGGACGATGATGATACGGGAGAGGCAGAGGTAGAGGGCGCCGGCGAGGAAGGCGGGTGCGATGGTAAGAGGGACGAGGTAGCTATTTTCATTCTGTCAGACCCCTTCGAAGGCTGTGGAGCTTTGGGAAAGGGCTGGATACAAGACTTACATGATGAAGTTGTTGAAGTCGAATGGGTTGTTATGCAGCATGATTCTGCCGGCGTATCCGACGACCTCGAGAACGAGACCACAGACCATGCCAACCATGAATCCCCATGTTTTATACCGGATACCGAGACCAATCTGGGCGATCAGAAGCAGCCCAAAGGCTGCGGCGTAGACTGCATTACCGGCAAGTGTTGGAAGGTACTCAACCTGAGCGCAGCTGAGAGGACATGTTTCCACCGTGCAGTTGGCGTTGGTTAAAAGAGGGCAAACTTCCGACATGTTGTCTGCGGATTTACAAAGATCAAGAGGGTAACAACGTAGGGGAGCTGAGACAGAAAGAACTTTGGGTGCACTGGTTTGCAAGGTTGGTGAGCTGATCAGATTGATGCGATCCTGTCCACATACATATATCTCTACGCGCCTCTCCGCCCTTCGCATCCTCGAAAACAGCATGTTCGAAATTCCAATCCTCTCGCACTCTCGCAGTCGACAGCCCTTTTCGGAAAGGGGCTAGACAGTTACGAGCTCGTCGCTAGAGCCTACAATCCTTATGTCAACATAGCCTCAATCCCGAAAGCCACATGGCATGATTCGCCAGTTCGCATCTGACACCGAAAGACTGCGAAATCAAGTCAGCGTTGACCCCTTGCGCCATCTTCTTGGCACCTAGCCAAGTGCAGTCAGAGCCTCCCGAAGCGAGAGCTCCCGATTGGTGAAGAGGTCGGACTCTCGTATCCAGCTAACCAAAAATCGTTTAGCGACCGCCTGGGTAGGCGCCCCAAAGATAGACTCGTACAATCCTAACGCAAATAGGAGATAATGCGACTCTCAATATACGGGCCGCAATGCGGTTGCACAGAGGGAATGCGGTTTGATAACATGTCAACATATCAGAAAGCCCGTTGGCGTTCTTGCTGACATGGTACGCGTCCATTGCAAAAGTCGTGCTCCTGTCGCTGTTCAGCCGCGTCATTCTGCTTCGCCACTTATCGTCACCAATCCCTTCTAGAGGTCATTACCCCCTTGACTATTTAATCCGAGAAGCAAGTTGCTCTCCTGTGCTGTTTGAGCTGGCTGAATTGCGGATGTCGATGCCCACAAATGAATCGCGATGCACTGGCGCCAACAGCCGGCCTACTCCATATATGATGTGTCCAAACAAAATGGAAAGGACCGCAGCTGAGAGATTATGAACAAACCTTGAACATACGGCTGGTCACCAATCATGTGCTTGGTCCGGCCGACGCTAAGGGAAGCAAAAACTCACCAAAGCCCATTACGTCTTCTTGTCTCTTAAGTATACTATGAGTACAATTGCATCGTCAATCTACGTGTGGAGTAGTGTTATTTGCAATCGAACAGCGAGTAGTGCAGGCAGGGGTGGCCAACAGGGTGATGGCAGATCATGCATCGCACCAATAACCAGGCTGAATAAGTACCTCTTGCGCGTAAGAACCGTCATGCTATGCTATCGAAAGTTGATTGAAGGACACGAATAACCTCCTATCAGGAAATCTCAAATCGTTGCACAATGATGTTCCTCAATGCAGCCGCCTCCAACTTGAGGTTCGAGATCGACGTAAACAGGATTCATTCATCTGCATTAGCAACCGACTGGGATCTGCCTGGAGCCGATCAAATATTGACGATGTGTTGGGTCGGGTGAACATGCTCCTTTGTTCATGGTGGAATGTCATTAATTGAACAAGCCCTGTTTACCGCCGTGTAATACCTTAGGTACCTCCCTTGCCAATCATATGTCACTTGGAAAAAGACTGTTCACTAGAGGATTTTGACTTGGCCGGGTATGAATTCTCCGGGGAAGATCGGGCAGAAATATCATGAAGTCTTCATTTTTGTCAGTTCTTCCATTCTTATTTGGCCGCTCCGACGAACTGTACTACATACCAATTCCAGATCGACCCAATGGAATTACCACTTATAATAAAAGATCCAATGCGATGAACATTCATTATGATAAGGAAAGAGGAAACGGCGAAGCGATGTCCAAGGTACCCAAAGTTTACACCTCGTGGAGGCTCGGTCGGACTAATCTGACCTCTAGGATCGGAAGGAGCAGCAGGATGGGCAAAATAATGTTTGGGCAGCAAACGGATACAACGGGCATCGCAGAACTGGACTAAGCTACGAATGAATCCTGGGAGATCAAACCAAATATGTTGACAAATGTTCGTGCCGTCCTAGTCCTGTTGCCATCCTATCGAACTAACGGGATGCATGGGAACGAGTTTCTGAGATCAATGAGACTGGTAATATGAAATGGACTACTCATAAAATCATCAAGGCTTTGGATCGTAGGTCAGGCAGCAAAGCAGCCAAAGAAGCCTGAACATACACCTTTGACAAGCAGACTAGTCCTGGCAGTAGCTTGCGTGGTAGAGGTGATACCCATCTGGCTTAGCCAATAGCCGGTTTGATGACTCGTGACAGATGAGGAAGTCATGGGGCAATCCTGCAAGCAGGTGGTATTTTATACAAGGAATGCTTCCAGTCTCTAGTAAACGGTAGATGATTAGTATTCTTAGTACCATGTTATTCAATCATATCCCGATGGACTTTATTTGCAGCAGGCCAGAGGTATTCTGCCTGGTGTTTAACAGATATTATTACGGGCCAGACCTGAGTTGTGGATCCAAGCTGGGGACGGGGTTTTGTCACGACTTTCTCTACCGTGCCTAGCGCGCGTAGATTCTCTGTGAACGCTCTGCCTCCCTGGGAGCCCTGCTTTAGAAAGTGTTAAGCCATCAACTTAGGTTCCCAACATGGATATCACTCTTACGCGGCTTCACGAGGGCTGAGCTCCCAACATATATCGGGATTGAGTCGAGATCTGCCTCCTGATTCCTTCGCTGTGAGATGTACCTACGGCTAAAGTAGTCACCAGATGGGGTGTCAAGATGTTTTGGACAACGAATATATGTTCACGCCCCTCGTACACATCATGTGTTTGCCGAACTGCCATTTAATGAACTGCGGTCTTCAGTGACAAGCTGCCACCCAGTGCTGTAGCATGACTCCCCCAAGCGAGTGTGAACAACGAAAGAGAACAAGGAATGATAGACGCTTCATCATGGGTTTAATTACACCTACTTGACCGCCCCCAAGCACCTGCTGCGCCCGCAATCTGCAAGCCACCAAGCTTGGCTGTGCATGTGCGAAGTCCCTGAAGGTCACAAGACTCTCCAGATGCCGAATACATGCTGCGATCAGACGTTGAACAAGGAGTCCTAGAGTACAAACCTATGGAAGAGCTACTTCCGGAGTGAAACGTTGGCAAATGTTTCTCCGCGTCGTGAATGTCTGCGTCTGGCGGTATAGCCAGCCCATTCTTTGAGAGAGGAAAGCGATTGAGAGCAGCTATTCAGGCACTTTGAGCAAGCAAAATCTTGAATGCGGCAGAGAAAGAATTGAACAGGGACCTATTCACTTTGGTAAGATCGGCTAGATATTATGGGTTAGAATTCATCGCTGCACCTGGATCGCATCATATTGCCTCCGAAGGCATGTGCCTTTGTTCCTCTTGAACAGACCTCAATTCAATGGATCGCATTTGCCGCCACGCGCAAACTTCTGGGGAAAATGCCAGGCTGCGTGATTCAAGTTCTCAATGTCTGACGCAATTGGGTTCGCTCGATATCCAGCTTGAGCATGACGTGTGAGGATGGGAGGCATAAAAAGCTAATCACTAGCCATCATTTTGTAAGCTTGCCAGATACCACTTCGCCATCACAGCCTAACAACCATACACATACGAATCACCTGCTAAGCAGAACAGACACGGTCTTCGAGCATAAGGAGATATCCAAGCTGATAAACCTTCACAATGGGGAAACATGTAAGGAAGTTGAAGAATTCGAAGGGATTGAAACACCAGCAGGTACAGCATAACTAATGAACTCGAAGAAAAAGGAGAAGATGACACCAGAGGCTGTGCGTCGCTTCATTCACCATTGGGGTAGGAATGTAAGAGTCACCCAACTCTCCCATCATAAAACATTGAATTCATGCACACCAGGAACTAATAGGCATACTAGGACGAGAGAACCCAAAGAGCTATCACAGCAGCTCAGATGCACTTCCCCAATGATCCTCTCTGGGAAGAATTGGGCATGTCGACTGGAAGCAACTCGGCCGGCTCTGGTGGTGGCTCTTCCAGCTCTGGCGGACAGTCTGGTGGAGGTTCTGGTGGTAGCTCGGGCGGCGGCGGCGGCGGTTCGAAGAATTAGCCATGGGAGCCTTGCTACGGTTGGAATATGGACTGAGCTCAGTAATGACTCCAGTCATGCCAGTATCTCAACTTATCTGCTAAGTAGGCAGGAGTCACGTAGCCCATAGTATCTCGACAAGCTCTACCAGACGTAGTTCCCCCGCAGGTCAACTCAAAATCAACACAATGAGTATTGCCTAATTATGATAAAATTGCACCGTGAGAACTTGTGTGTGCCACATAGGAAAGATGGATCAAGTGATTATGAAGACTTCAGAATTGCTTCCAAGGTGCAGTCAATTGCGGGGCATACAGACTCGTGGAAATGCCGAGAACACCTCTGGTGAGAGTGCCAAGACGTAGCCACAAGGATCGTCGTGTCAAGATGGGCATTCGCCCATGGACGACTCGAGTCGGGAGTGGCGATGAGAAAAGGTTCTGTGTTTAACCAGATGTACCCTCTCTGGCCCGCCGTAACTGTCATATTTCAAGACATATCTGGATCCTGTGAGAACATTCAGGAGTATCTACAAGCAGGGACAGGCTGGGAGGATTCATCTATGGATATGTACTCATTTCGGGGATGGCCCTTATCACCAACACGACATGCCTGTACTCAAAGCCGAATTATCATGTGAATACCACCTGCGTAGAAGCTCACTCATTCAACGCTAACACCAAAGTCAGGAATCCACTTGGACTTTATGTGAAGTCAATGCCTGCATCATGAGAAGCCAGTGGATAAGTCGCAAAATGTTGCGTTATCATCCAGTGAATCACGGGAGAGATAGTCCGCAGCCAGATTCAGAGCACCTCAATCAATTCACTGATACGTGTATCTTCTACCTCCAATCTATTTGATCTAAAAGGATATAAAATGGAAAGTATTTGACCACAGTCACATCCATTTCATCATCATCATCATCATCAACAACATCATTATCATCATCACTTAAAGCACGCAACAACTCTACAAATACAATCGACCTCCAATCGACATCAACATATCCAACATACTCTGCAACAAAAGACAGACCTATCCTCAAAACAATCACAATGGTCAAGGAAAAGATGACCCCTGAGGCTGCGGCCCGTATTAAGGCGGGGAACAAGGATGTAAGAGAAGCCGGGAAGGGCATCTTTCCCATACATCAAAGACAACATTGAAGTATTTCAGAGCTGACAAAATGAATAGAAGAAGTTCGTTCAGAAGGCTGCGGCTGCTGCGCAAAGAAACTACCCCAATCACCCGACCTACAAGTCGAGTGGCGGCTCTGGTGGCGGCTCGTCTGGCTCCGGCGGCTCGTCTGGTGGAGGTTCGGGCGGTGGTGGCTCGAAGCAGTAGTCATGGAGGCCTTCCTACAGCGGGGATATGAGTTCAGCTCAGTCCAGTAATGACTCCAGTCATGCGAGTATCTCAACTTATTCGCTGAGTAGCGGTAGCTTACATAGCCGATAGCATGTAGACAAGGTCTGCAAGTAGTAATCCTCAGCGTGCCAATTCAAAACCAATACAATGAGTATCAGTTACCTATGATCAAGGTTGCATAATTAGGTCTCGCATGTGTCACATAGATAAAGTGACCATGAAGAACTTGATATCGCTTTCAAGATGCATTCAATCGTGGGGTATGACGAAGGTTCAGGTGGCTCAAAAGTGCTATTATATTTCATGGCTTTTCCGTCTCTTTTCCCCCATCTATAAGTCCCTACCTAGAACCAGAACACCGACTCCCCGTGAGTGTAAATGCTTCCCAAGGTATCATAGTAGTTTATACATCCCCCAAACACCCCTTTAAGCCCATTTTTGGTCACCCCTATGCTCTCACTGCCTCTGTGAAGGATACTGGTACCGCGCAGGTTGTGGCTGCACCTCCGTCGCCGGCATCTCAACCGCACCAGGCGGCGGTTGCGGCACTTGTGAAGGAGGCTGGGCAGCAACAGGTATCGAAGCCAACTCAAACACGCCCTCCTGCTGAGCAGGTTCCTGCGGCGGAGCAACGTACGCAGCTTGCGGGTGGTGGCCCCAAGCACCCAAGTTTGCCCCCTGCTGCGGTTGAAGATGCGCATACGGCGGCTGCGGGGAATTCGTCGCCCACGTCTGTCCACCGGGACTCGTAGCCGTGATCTCGGAAACGGGCCTCCAGCCGGATTGCTGCTGCTTATTCTCGTTCTTGTATTCTTGCGCGCCGGTGTATGCGGCGTATCCACCCGTCCCGGCGCCGGCGACGCTTGCGGGTGGGCTGTATTCGGTAAAGGGCCCGTGTTGTGGGTTATTGTGGCCCGTGGCACCGATGCCGCCGCCGAGCATCGGGCGGTGGGACTCGTCGTGTGCGTCGCGGCTTCGCTTGATGCGCCAGATGAAGGCGGCGAGGCAGACAAGGGCGATGGCCCCTGCGCCGGCGCCGACGCCGACGCCGATTTTGGCGGTCGTGCTTAGGCCTTTATCTTCCTGTGCTGGAGTCGATGTCGTGGGTGTAGGTGTTGATGTGAGGGTGATGGTTGCTCCGCCGGTGGTGGTCGTCATCATGGTAGTGGGCGTGGCTGTCTTTGATGTGGATAAAGTAACTGATAGCGATGCTGTCGCGCCTGTCGCGCCGAGGTTGAGGAATTGGTCTTCGGTCATGGATATCGGCGTCTTGGAGTCTGAGCAGGCGGTGCTCATGGACTGGTAGACTGTGCGGAGGGTATCCTTTGCTTCCTTTCCTAGACATGTCGCTGCGTTTGTGACGAATTTGCCCTTGTCGTCGCTGCAGAGGCACTTGTTCATCGTTGCGACTGTGTCGCCGTCGCATTTACTTGCGTCTGAGGAGGCGTAGAGGCATGGTTGGGCGGCTGCTGGGTATAGGTCAAAGTTGTTTTGGTATTTTGCGAGAGCTGGTGCTGCGAGGAGGAGAATGCTCAGCAAGCTCCTTGTCGTTGTGGTCCTCCGCGCCGATGCCATTGTGAAGAGTTGTGGAGAGTATCTCTCTCTGTGCTTTAATCTCGAGTTGATGATGGTGATGGTCGAAAACCAGGGGTTTTGGGGGCCGGAAGATAGATCGCTTTTGGGTGGTGACTACTGTAGAGCTAGGGATCGACAATGCGCGTCATGCACTTGAGCGGCGTCGATGAAAGTTTAACTCGAATTTCGCTCAATTGGGTTCCGATTCAGGTTGAGGCGGTATCTCAGTGCTGTTGGTTCTGTCGTCTGAAAGAGTTTCTGTTGTGTATCCACGCATTCGGGTCTGCTCGCCAGAGATGGTGATGGCCAGGTCAAGGGGTGCTGGTTTAGTTCGGCGGAAGTGGGGGAAACAAATTCGCAGAGATACCGAGTACTTAGTAGAAGGAATGATGAAGGAGGCGTGACGGAGGGTTTTAAAGAACACCGTCCGGAACAACGATTATGAATCTAGATGGAGCCAAGCTAGAGCAAAGGAATGGCTGGACTCGCTAGCGCAACAACGGACGGATTGACGGATTGGAGGCTGAGGCTTGGATACCTCTCACATGGAGACAATGGGCACGGGGAGAGCGCGTAGAGAATGACGGAGGGTGGGAATGTAGCTATGCAGTGCAGATGATGTGACTAGGGGGGAGAAGCTTGTTTCCCTTCTTTCTTTGCCATTGCTCGTTGATGTTTGGTTCGTTTCTCGTTTTGCCTATATGTAGGGCTGAAGGCTGAGCATCAGCGCAGGTACATGTAACCATTCATAGACACACATTGAGAACCAGATGCATAAGGTGACAAGATACTGGTCGAGGCACGAAGTAATCTTGTCCAGGGGCTGTGTTTGCTTCTGGACGTTCCGCAGGGAAACCTGAGCAAACTTTGAAAGATGCTTCTCTATGAGGAACGTGGGTGAGATCGAAGACATGGAATCGGGACGGGACAACGAAGCAGACTGGAGCATAGCGTCGGAGGATCTGTGACCCTTGCCGGATTCGACGAACCGGGGCTAATTTTAGAGGCTCATAAGCCCCAGTCGTCTGGGCTGGCTGGATGACCGTCAGCCACACACCCAGTTCTGCTGTGTTCCTCTGGTTTCATTGTCAAGAGTGATATATGGGAACAAGACAAGAAGAAGAATGAAATGGCGTTCTGTTGTGGCATCTTGGTCGCCTGTGAAGAAGGCGCATCGTCGTACTCTTGCTGAGGAAAGTGAAGAATATTGAACGCTTTCAGGTCGAGACGGCTTGTCTCAGCAGCCTGGTCAATCGACATTCCAGAGCAACCTGTCCAAGACCATCAACAGAGAATTGACATAAGCACATCTTCGGGTACTTCATCTCATCCTATGCCCCAACCCCTGTGGCTCAGCTTCCCCAGCAACCCGGATGCCGCTGGAACCGGAGGCAGTAAGTTGACCATACGCAAGGTGGTGACCGCGGGCAACAACAGTGTGCCCAGAGCGAAGGATCACTCATGGAGTCGTGGCACGGTCATTCGGAGGCTGCAACAACGGCCTGAAAATAACCGTCAAGCCACGCGAATCTAATCTCCTGAATATCGCTGCCTGCGCTGGAGCTTCACCGCAAGCCTCGAGGGGGGAGAGAAAGGGAACTGGTACGGAAGAGACAGGGGGAAGGGAGGGGTCCAGCCACCACTGTCAGGCCGTCAGCATCATTTCATCTCACTCACAATTTTTCTTCGCTGGCTCCTGGTGGTGACGCTATAATCTGACTAACCTGAAAGCGGCCCTCTTTTGGCGGCTGCCTCCCCACGCAGCTCCCTTGCGTCATGTCATTGTGTCTTAACAATGGGGAGCGCAACAATGCATGCTGTGGAATCTAATTCTTCGGGCCGGCTGTCAATTTCGTTCGAGGCACTGGGAAGAGCCGTGGGCGCTTGACTGGTCATCAAGTCCGCGATGTCACAATGCCATATCGAACGCGTCCAGGTTCCTGTGCGGCCTTCGAGAATTGAAGAGGTACTGGACCTGTTCCCGAACACTGTACAGTGTGTGGAACAAAGGGAAGTGGCTTGGATACCTCCTGGTTGTCAATCTCGAGTCGAGTGACACCGGGATTATCAGAATTTTGCGAAACCTCGTCGGGGACAGCTCTCTTTCAATGTTTAAGTTTATTGAAGCCCTGCTGGGAAACACAACGTTATCAGTTCTACCAACTTTACCAGTATGGAGTCTATTTCTCCTCATCACCGACGGCAGTAAGCCTGCCGACAACAAGATACTTGCTGTCGAAGTTCTCTTCCCATCCCTGAAGCGCCTCAATCTCGTCCGGTCCCAGCCCTTCAAGCGGATCCAACGGGCCGTCCAGGTCCTCCGTCAACATATCCTCGTCGAAGCTGCCGAGTGCCAGGCCGCGCGAAGCATCCCGGCCGGCGAAGTTGGAATAGGGACCGCCGGGGCCGTAGAAGTTGCGACCGTGTGAGACATCAAAGACGCGGCCGCGAACGGCGAGGTAGATGGGTGTATCGTTCTCCCCGGTGTAGGGGAGGAGGGTTCGCGGGTTGAAGACGCGGAAGACAGTCGCGGGCGGCTCTTTCGGAAGGACCGGAGGCGTGGTCGGGCGGAGGAGAACGTAGATTGTGTAGAGATTCACGAGGAGGAAGAGGATGTTGAGGGGGGTGAAGAAGGCGTTGCTGAAGGGTGATTGGGTTAGCTGATGTCTATAGCAGAGTGAGTTCGTTGACTTACCCTTGGTCCACATGCAGCTTCACTGCTTCCTCCTGGAGTCGCTTGTCGACGTAGTCCATGATGGTGGTTCGAAGGTACGGTTTGAGGGTTTGTCGGAGCTGTTGTCTAACTGAGGTTCAAGGTATTCTAACTGAGCCACGACTTTGTTCTATCCACGAGTTCTAGAAAGAGAGTATCGGAGAAACATTGGCCAGTCCCGCTTCCTGTCGCAAGATGAGGCTGTTCAAGCTGCCGTCGACAAGAAAATCATTGCGAAAGCGACAACTCGCCAGACTCCGTCGGAGCTCTCCAAGTTCCCGTCGATGGCTCGGGCCCCTGCTGCTCCGTGCACTGCCGAGCTGTGCCCCTCCAAAGCCCCATCTTATGTCATCATCAAGCTCGCCCCATTGTTTCCACGTGATGTAGTCTTTGTCAGCAATCCGATCCAAAATTGCGAAGCTATCACGACTTCCCCGTTGAGCCTTGGAGTCACGGCTGATCACCTCAGTGGCTTCTAGAATCTCATGATGTCTTATGAGTGATACTACATATAGTTCTTACATATATCCTGTTCAAAGCGGTTTATATTGGGAATGGAGCGCTGCTAAAGCCTCTGATGAAAGCCATGTCGACTGTAGGCCGTGTTACCTAGCTTGAAGGCCGGGAAGCTCCGTCATGTACACGGATACGTACCACCCTATGAAATTGTCTTTCAGTCGATTGAAAGTTTCTGTACCGCTATTGCTCCACGGTGTCGCTGAGCACTTGTCTAATTTTACAATTCGTCCCTTTTCTCAGGTTAAGGTAGGTAAGGTACGATAACCTTGCGCGAAAGGGCAGCAGGTTGCTTTCACCTAATCCAGGTAAGACCAATACCAAGCCACAGTGAAAGTTTGTATCAAGCGCGAATTTCGAGTATTGAATGATCAAAAAAGCCTGAATTTGATTACATACATGATTCAACGATGTTCCACAGATGACGTACATTCAATCGCGGGGGAATATGTATCCTCAAGACCTTCATGTCAAATGTCGTAAGTTTAATAGCCAATCCGACGTGAATCCTCTGTTTAGTACTACCGCTACCTATTATGTTCTATATCGTCGATGGGACGGTGTGTTAATAGCTTACCCATACCTTGATCTGGCCGCAGTTGAAGTGAAATTCGGAACCAAAAACTTCGTGCAGAAAGTACCCACCAATATGGTGCCAATGTTACAAATTCACTCTGACAGCTCGCTTAGAAAGTTGCAGTTTTAGTACGCCCTGTCTGAAATGTTGCTCTGTCATCGAATGACGGACCACCCGACTGGGTTGTAGCCCATTTCGACGACAGTTTCAGAGGTTCTACTCATGAATTGACATTTTGATGAGTGATGCAAACTTTTCATGTTGCACGTGGCTTTTGGACTGTATCTCATGTACCCATATTCCATTCAAAGCCTCAACTTATGAATCCAATTACCCATAGTAAGTTACATATCCCGATTCGCCATTCCCATGACCGGAGGTATTCCCTCATTACATTGACATTATTTAAACAGCAGCGGCAACCTTGAGCTCCTTCTCGACAACAGAGACATTGTTCTTCTTGTCGGTAGTCTCCTCAGCACCGAAGGAATCACGTCCATCAGCGAAGACAGCCTCAAAGTCGTACTCTGACCAGCGGATCTCGGGAGCGAGACCAGCGAACTTCCAGACGCCATCGACCTTCTTGTACCAGTGCTTGTTGTAGCTGTGAGCGTGGCCCTTGACGGCAACCTCCTTGCGGGAGGCGTCGGTGTACTTCTGGTGGGGTACGCGGAGCTGGTGGTGTCCGATGACCTCGGTCTCGGAGACCTTCTCCCAGCGGGTGCCGCCGATGAAGTGCTGGGTCTTGAGGAGGGGGTTGCCGAGGACGGACTTGTCCGAGATCATGGCGATGAACTCCTCCGCGGGCATGGCCTCCCAGATCTTGTCGAGGAAGGAGCGGTAGTCAATCTGAATTCGGTCAGTACAAAGGCCTGATTTGAAAGCAGGGAACAGCATCACCGTGTGACGAATGACTTACGCGAAGCTCAGGGGCAATGCATTTCCTGAGACGGTCCCAGTCCTTGGAGTCGTAGCTGTCGGCCCACTCGAAGATGCAGCCAGAGAGGCCGAGGTAGTCTGAACGAACCGGTCAGTATTTATCCCGCCATTGTGCATGGTTTTCATGACCTACCCTCAAAGGAAATGTTTCCAGCAGGGCTCGCCATTGTGTCTGAAAGGTATTATGTAGAAGTAAATACAGGGAATTAGCTGGGATGTCAAACGAGGGATAAAAAGGCAAGTTGAATGCACTTTAGAAAAGGATATCGATGAAGTTTATAGTTTATCAAAAGAGGAACAGACAGGCCGCAATGAACTGTCCGATGTCAAGGGATCAAGGCCCATCTCATGTTCGTTCCTGGCAACCGGACTGCCGCCAGACGCCCGGGCCCCAGGTACGGAGGCCCGGACGTCGAACTAGCGGCCCCCGCACCCTTTCGTGCGTGTCCGAGACCCCTATTTTTGGCGCCTTTTCACCGGACTCAGGTGGGGAGATGCCGGTCGTGAGACCACATCACCTTCAGGTTTCGCGGCTGCGACAAAGGCGCGAGGTGATCTGCCGTAATACGTCAGCCATGGAACGAATACTTTGTAATCAGTAACATCCTATGCGAGTCTGTTGGTTTGATCACGGCTGACGGGTAGGAAATGACTTGAACAGTCGCTGCGCGCTTGTGTGCGGGGCTTGCATTCGTGAAATCAGATAACGGTGCTCCCTCGCATGTAGCTACCAGAGTATAATGACACAGCATTGATCTTGTAATACAGCGGACTTTACGAGTTCAGCCATTCACCTTATGTCCTATTCATCCATGATTCCTACACTGCCCGGGTATAACTAAATCTAATATCCACTTCCTGGGTTACAAGTCGAGGTATGTTCACCTCTTCAACCCCCTCGCCGCCTGCACTAAATGAAATCTTTCCTCTATTCTTACTTTTCTTCGTGCTTCCTCAGCTGAGAGAGATTTCTTTGTCAGAAGCGCATCCCCCTTTGAAGGAGGCAAGGTTAATCGAATGTTGGAATCGAATACGTCCTGGGCCCAGGAGGCACCCAGCTCACCATCGCCCCAGGATATCTTCTCTTCCCACTCCGACACTGATAGCCCATTATGAAAGACCTCGTCGAATAGATACATGTCCTGCGGTATCAGTTTTACAAGTAGGCGTACGGACACCAGTGCCAGCCCAAGCTGATCTGATCTCTGGGAAGGTACCAACTCCCACTCTAAATCTAGTCGTAAGGCGAAATCGAGGCCAGAGGATAGGTCCCAAAATCTCATCCAGACAGTGGCGGATGTCGTTGGTGACGCCAAGTCTTGTACTACTATCAGTGACTTTGATGTGGTACACAGCGGATACCAGCTGGGTGGGTACATCTCAGCAAGCTTAACATTGCCTGGGGCGCTCGTGAATTGAACAGTTGTAGACTTTTCCACCCGTCTTAACATATGTCCCGGCATCGGGAAGTCCGTTTTGAAGCTGTCGAAACTTCCGGAGACGTGGATGTAAAGATAGATAGCTTTTGTGCCGAGGTCGGCTTCGTCAATCAACAGAGGTACGGCACCAGGTGGGCGGATGATGAGGTTGCCCACATAGTAGAGGGGAATAGCTATGCAATTCTTCCCCGAAGTTGACTATCTGTCCGTGCAGTGTAGCATGGCGTAGATGAAAGTTCCCATCCTCCGTTGTGTATCTGAGAATCGTGTCTGAATATGCAGACCTTTGTTCGTTAGATAGTAGTGCGGGGTGTTGCCCGCGGTCTCGACCATTGTGACATTCCGGCACCCCAGGAAGTCGGCCGGAGATTTGGCGAACAACCCTCCTTCAAACCGAGCAGGTTCTCCATAGCCCCAAGAGAATATCGACTCGTCATCGGTCTTCTTGATGATTTCTTCCTGGAGCCTAAAGAAAGCCTTTTCACCTTCTCCGTATAGCAGCGGCATATTGACATCGAACAGCCCCATGAGGGAGTAGGCCTTATCCTCTAAACGGGTTGTCTCTCTTCTCGATGCCCAACTCATTTTCTCCGCCACTGAGAAAGACTGATGCACATCTTCGAATTTCCTGGTTAACGCAATGAAGTTTATGTTCGTTTTACTGCCGAGAGCCGAGGCGAAATTATCCATGTTGGAATTCATGTCGAAGCTCTCGTTATCGACTTGGCTTATCTTCCTTTTCCCAAGTACCATATTCGATGGACGAGTCCTACCGTCAGTCTCACCGGACTTTTCAATCCACTCCACGAAGTTCCAGGACCGGTCGTAAAAGAATACCGTGGTCGCTGCCAATAATTCCTGCAAGGTCCAACCGCGGCTAAACCAGCGACTGTTGGCAAAGACCTTGTCTTTGGGAATTAAACTTATAACCCCCGGGAACATCTTCAAGGTACACAAAGCATGTTGCAGCCTGTCTGTACCATGCAAACATAGAATTGATGGCCTCGGATAGCTCCGTGCTACTGCTCTTGTCTATGCAGCAAGTGTCTATCCAGACCCAAGAAAGCCTTTGGTCTCGAGCGACACGACACATGCCATCGATTTTTGTGATCCCACCGCGGTAACCAGCTCGTTGGAAATCTCGGAATGTGAACTCATTGCGCCCCCAAGTATGGGACAGAATGCCGTACGGAGGTGTTTCTGTGCCGGAGAACTCTCGCAATTTAAATGTAGTAGTATGTAATAGCCGCATGTTACCGATTTTGCCTCTCTAGTGAGCTGACTGAAGGACGTTGGGAAACCTTGACGGGGCGGCTGTAGCCTGTATGAGTTAAGCAATCAACGAGGCGTTAGCAAGCCCTTTTTCCATGCGACAATTCTGACGTCTCTCATCTCGAGTGCGGGGTAGGTGTAAGGAGATGCCCCTGGTAAGGCGCCGTGGTTCGCCAAAGACGAGGAACTGCACTGCATATAGGCACATGTAACCAACAGGTTTGCCAAGGCTGTTCGACCTGCTTACTTGATGCATATCTCATCCGGTGGTATGCAGAAAGTACGATGAGTGTGACCGACTGTCCGTCTTGCCTCGATATCACTATCACGAATTTTATTGTCGTGCGGCATATAAGTTCCAGTTTATTGTGTGTTTGTATGAAGTAGCAAGGTCATCGCAGGCCTTCATACAGAAGAACCAATGACTGAAGCTGAACTTAGGATCTAAGTAGATTTGAGGCAAAATCATGAAAGCTTGGTAATAATATCTTACGTTCAACGGTAGGCGATCAGTGAAGACCTCCTAGCCTAGATGTGCTATATGTTTGATCAATATTTACATGTGAAAGGGAAGCCCCTCGTTGCGCAGACACTCTCCTGGACTGACTCCGTACAGGTTTTTCCCGGTTGGCAGTCTGGCCCACCACTGAGCTATGGGAGGACTCAAGAATATCAAGAACAGTTCCTAGTGTTAAGTTTAGTGCCACAGGTGTCCAGTAGGTTGAGGCCCGGCGGAGGAGTTCTATCGCTGCAGCGTGAGAACTGCCGGGCGGTAGGGCAGCAGGCCGTAGTCGCCGCTTGAACTAGGGGACCGTCCCTGGTAGAGCAGTTGAAGGTTGCACGGATCGATAGTCATGGTCTGATCTGGATCGCTGCGAACCAAGTCACCGTGGCTGATATCGTTGGTCCAAGTAGCACCGCTGTTGGCCTTGCCAGCAAAGGGGTTGCTCTCAGTTGCGGCCTGGGCCGTCCATGCTCCGCCGAGACTGGTGGCCGTGAAGGAGCGGAAATAGCGGCCATTGGCACCGATAGCCTCGACAATCATGAGGTACTGCTGCTTGCCCTTGACGGTGTACACTTGGACAGCCTCGAATAGGTTGTTAGTCGTGTCGCTCATGACAACCGTCGAGGCGGTGCCAAAGTTGCCCGGGAAGTTTCCAATTGGCATGCTTGAGCGGTAGATCTTGCCATTGTCGCCGGCGAAGAACAGGTACATGTTCGTGCTGTCGCCAATGAGCGTCTGGTCGATGGGACCGGTGCTGGAGTCGGAGATGGTTCCGGAGAACATGGGCTGCGCCGCGGACCACCCATTCGCGATGGAGGGGTCGCTCGAGGTCTTGTAAGAGAACTGAGTTGGACCCCATTGGTAGGCGAGGACCCAGACATTCTTGGGCCGGAAGTAGAAGATGGTGGGCGCGACGGCAGACTGGGTCATTGTGTTTTGAGATGCAGAGCCCATTTGAGACCAGTCAGAAAACAGACCAAAGTTCATCGAGCCCCAGGTTGAGCCTTGGTCGTGAGTCGACGCGTATACGAGGTGCTGACCGTTGTAAGTGACGGTGGTGAAGTCCTTGAGCGAAGCCCATCCGGATTTGGGGGTGGCCAGCGCGCCAGTCGATGTCCAGTGATAGGTAGACGGGAGGTCGCATGTCTGGGCGATGACATCCGTCACGGACGCAAGGAACAATAGGGTGGTTGAAACCACACCCGCATTGGCTTTGAGCATCATCTTAGCGTTGTGGAGTATGTACAATTGTTGAAAGAAGCTTGAGTCTCTGGAAGAACTCCTAGAATCTAATGGCAGTCGTCCGATCTTTATATATATGAGAAATGTTTGTATTTTTACTTGGCGGTGATTGGCTATTCAACCCTTAATTGCAAGTTGTTCTTCCTTGGTCGAAGACCGGCAGTTGCTCGCCAATGCGAGAGAGTCCGAGAGAGTCGCACTGGGATACGAATCTAATCAATCTGGCATTCGTGGGTTAACCAAAGTGAAACTGGACTATGCTCCATGCAGACTGCCGTTCGTGCCGCATGGCATACCAACTCCAATACTACTTGTCATATTGACGAAAGTAATTTGAAGAGTATGATCCTGTGCTACAAGCCCCCTGCCGACCTAGACATAAACGGGTTTTGCGGCTCCGGGGCCGAATTAAGATTGTTCGCGAACGTTTTCGAAAGTTTTACATTCAGCCGGCGGATCGCATATGATGCGCACCAATTGCGGTCTCTCGGTTCCGGGTGCATTTCTCCTAACACTCACGCAGGGTTCCATCGAAGTCTGTATTGATCTTGGTTTCCCCAGACTTCTCCTCTTTTCGGACTGATCGTCATAGCGCCAAATTTTCCCCGACTTGGCGGTTGTGCAACCGCCAAATACCGATTGGTAGTAGACGCAATGGAAGCTGGTCGCCATGATGAAATACTTCGTTCGCCTCATGTTAGAACCATAAGCTACAAAACTTAAGTCAAGGTTGATTAAAAAAGGATTGAGCAAGTGTGGTGTTCGGCCGCGTCCATGAGTAGAAAAGGGTTTCTGATTACGTCAATGAATAGATCTTAGTATGAGGTATTGCGGCATGAACTTTGTCCAAACTTCATAGGTTGAAGTTGGTTGCTAATGTGAAATGCTCTCCACCTGGTGACATAAAGCTCGCACGAGCAAGCCGGAGCTAACCGTGGACGCATCGAAAGTCTTGCTGCACACCTTGATATTCCGAAATTAAGTGCAAAGCAGTTGGAAAAACTCTGAGTTGTAATTACTTCAGAATTTCCATCACATGCAAGACGACGAATAAACTGGCCCTGCTACTGGCGAGAACTCGAATATAGCGCACAATTCGAGTGAAGTTCAAGAGGGTCTTTGAGTTATGCTGGGTTGGGCGTATGTCTATAATCCGAGTAGATTATCTGCGGGATGTGCTCAATACTTATTACTCTGACCACTGACGATATCCTGGTGCGTCGTTGATGAACATGCTGAAGGAATTCGTTATGATTTACGCCTTTCATCAGTCTCTATTAATGCCTATTCTGAAGATTGCTGTCGCTATCTAATGTCTAGTCGTTTGCTATTCTGCCTGAGGTGGTAAGCCAATTTATATTGACCTGGTTAAAACCTCGGTACTCAACTCATGACCTGCAGAAACTCTCCACGCAAGCTATGCTACACCATTTGGCTCTAGACCCTGGGTATCAATATGACTCTCCAACCACGCTGTTCAGTCGTCTTCCTTCCTCGGGATATTGAAGGGAGAGTCACGCCCAGTGTAGATGAAGCCATCATAAACACAAGCACCAGCGATACCACCAACAATAGCGGCAGCCCAAGGAGCCCATAGCCAGTAATAAGAGTCATGAGTGAAGACATCTGAGCCATAGCCAACAATAGCCAACGCAATGCGTGGGCCAGTATCTCTAGCACCGTTCATGGCATACCCAGTGTTGATGCCCAAGGCGGAGCCGATGGCCAACAGAGCCAAAAACATGGCAAAGGGCTGCGTGCCCTTGGGGGGCGATAGGTTATTCTTGTCAGCCAGAGCAAACACGATGGCCACCAGCGCGGCCGAGGCAAGAAACTCGGTGTAAAAGGCGCCGACATAAGGAAGCCCAGACTTAGGGAAGGTAAAGAAGAGACCGGCAGTGGCGTGTTCACCGATCAAAGTGCGGGCAGCACCGCCCTCGTACTCCGCGATGCTGGTGGAGTAGTTCAAATAGACGGCAAGACTGGCGAAGGTGGCACCCAAGACCTGCGCGGCCAAGAAGCTGGGTACCTTACGCCAGGGGAAGCCGCGGAAAAGAGCCAGGACGACCGTCACGGTTGGGTTGCAATGTCCACCTGACACGCCGCCGGACATCCATACGGCCATAGCTACGCCGGCTGCCCAGGCCAAACGGCACTGCAAGAAGTCACCTGCGTTTTCGCGGATGTCGGCAGACTGGTAGTTCAGACGTGTCTCGCATTCGACGCCTGCTCCGAACAGCAAGATCATAAAGGTGCCCCAGAACTCACTGTGTATGTATGCGATCAGCATAGGACTAATTCTGAGAGCTTCATTGCCGTGAGTGATCCCGGTGGAGAAAGCTCCGGCGGGGAACCATGTCCGCGATTGAAGTGATATAAGGATAACTGCAGCCAATATTCAGGTACTCACGCGAATTCTTCCCGCCAGTAATGACGGATTTGTGCCCATGTGTTTGGTGGCCTGTCACTGAGCGCCCATTGCGGCTTGTGTAGGCGTGTCTCTTGATGGGCGGCGACTGGCGCGGCCGGCAGTACCGGCTCGACGTCTTCGTGGTGTGGGTGAACTTCCTGTAGGGAGGCACGTCTCATGGACAGGGGCGAAACGAGTCGCTGGCCACTGAATGATGGTAGTTGGAATGTGCCGGTGCGTCGCCTATGCCTTGAGAGGAGCGGCTGGCTTTCGCCTGGATCGTGAATCGATGACGCGGGAGACATATTGCCGCGCGTTTGTCTTATGGCAAGCTGATTGGATTTGATGCTAAGATAGCCCTATGAGTTTGTCGCCTGATAGATGCTAATATAGTATGCCGAAAGCGTAGGGACAAGTTCTCAACGAGAAAGAGGAAGTGTATGGACAAAATTTCTCTGTGAAGATGACGATGCCTTCGCACGAGGTGTGTTGTTTTTGTTTGCCTCTCGTCGATCCACCAAAAACCAGACGGCAGCACGGTTACTTCTGCATCCCGTATCAAGTTGATCTACATGTTGCATTGCGTACCCGCTCACTAGTCCGTGTGGTTCCCGAGGCCAAGCTCCGATTTGGTGGTGCAAGGAGCTGCAAGACAACAACTCCGTATTTATCTGTGGATTTTAAACACTATTATGGAGAAGGCTGATAAGTTATCGCGCAAGCAAGGCCAGTCAAAGCGTGATTTTTCTGGGTCAAGACAGCTAGGAATTTGGACGTTCCCTGTTTTTTTTCCAAAGCTGTCGGACTACGTGGCTCACCGACATCTCTGATGTCAATAAAACTTCGTGATTGGTGAGATAGAGTTGGGAGAATGTTGAAAAGCTCTTCTTGGACTGCAGGTTTTGTCTTTAGGCTCGCTCATGAGATGAATATGATTGCAAATTGGTCTACTTTGTAAGTGCTGTAGTTGTGTACTAAGATGGTTCGATAAAATGCTGGTAAGAAATGAGAAAAGAGAAAGAGCTTGTGAAACCAGTCGACAAGCAAGTCGATCTATCAATGTGCAATGATTCTGCGATCACTTCTGTCGGAAGCGAGCGCTTTGAGCTCGTGGTTGTTTGGCTGCTCCCTTCGATGGGCTGGCCGGCTGAAATTCCTGGAGGTTTGTGGCAGACTCATTAAGTTTAGCCTGTGCCATCCCGAGCTGTTTGTTCTCAAGATCAAATACTGTGTACACAGCCGAGAGCATAGGCGCACCAAAAGACGCTACGTTGCTATCAATAGGCTCCAACGGAAGTGTGCACAGGGCACTGCCGCTCTTGTCGGTCATGGGTGCCCCGTTCTTCATTAGGGGGATGAAGATCATCGACAGAGGGACCTCGACCTTGGCCGCCTGGAACTCGAAGTTGAACTTGGCACCCGAATCACCGCTGCTGCATTTCAATGCTTTTGTTCCATCCTGCAATGTTTGAACTTTGATTGCCGGTCCGATCTGATCCAAGATCTTTGCTGGGAAGGATAACGACGGGTTGCCTGTGTCAACGAGGACGGGCGGGAAATTGTTTCCGCCAATTGCAGTTGGTTTAGCATTCTTGTCTGCCGAGAAGGAGAATGATGTCCAAGGTACGATGAAGTCACTTGAGTTGAATAGCTTCTGTCCAACGAGAGGAACCATCTGCATTGGACCTGTAAACTTAGCAGTGTCCATCCCACCAAACACGACGCTTCCAGTAGGCGACCCTATGCGATGTCAGTAAAAGTACATACTTAGGTATAAACAGAGTTCAAATCTGTGGACTAACTGAAATCGTTCAAGTATACACTGTAAGCCAACGACTTGGTGAGCCCCTGTGCTTTGAGATTTTCCGGAAAGTTTGTGTATGGCTTAGCATTATTGGCAAGAACGGACGCCTCTGAGCTCGAGGGGCCAACACCAAGGATGGCAATCAGAGGCGATGTCAGCTTGCCGGTCTGACCCAATCCCATTGTGTTATTCGAAACGGACGTATTCCCGACTGTGACTGATTCTGACATGAAAGTTCCCTGAATTTCAACGCCGTTCGCATACGTCGCTTCAAATGGGGAGCGATTGGCATTGAAGGTGGTCGATTTTGCGGTATCAAATGCACCTGAGACGCTAGAGTTCTTGCTGTTGCCGGTGGTGCAAGTTGCCAAGCGGTCTTTGCATAGGCGGCTGTTGAGCTGGGGAACCCAGAGATCACTGCTTCCCGTGTCGAAGATCGCCATGACTTGTTGCGGCGGAGATCCAACCGAGATCTGCATCGATGCAACGAACCTGCTGTTCGGGTCGTTCATGCGGGTGAAGGGGATCTCGACCGTCTTCAGACATTGTATGGACTGGATTAGGCATATGCTCGTGACCAGCACCTTCAGTTCAAGCGTAAAAGACGACCACATCGTGCTCATCGATTGTGAACAAGAAGTACACGCGAATTAGAAATAAGTATTGCAGTGTTGAGTTGCACAGCAACTGATTAGCTTGAATTGTATGATGAGCTTGTTCAATTGGATCATCCCGGCGGTAGATCAGATCGTATTATAATCTTGTACGAGATCCCAACATAGCCGAATTTCTATCTCTTGGATTCTTTCGATCCGTCACTTGTCCTCTGACTCCTTTCCCGGCCGAGTTTCGGGTTTACCTATTCAGGGGAAGAGTCATGAATCGTCGTGACACACTGGTCTGTTTTGTATCAGCGAGAATTTTCCGCGGCTTCAGGATAAATATTTAGTTACGGCTCAGCTCGCGTCCCGCTGTGGCACAAGCGTCAAGCTTGGGCGCCATACAACGACATTCAAGTAGCCAAGACTAAGTGTGCATCAAGCGGTGGCCCCATCAAAACCTTCGATTGTTACCTAAGTTGACTTCCTTCAGCAGCATTAAAGTTTTCTTTGAGCTGGGTTTTGACTCGGAAAGTCTTTGCTTCTATTCCTCGGAACCACTGTTTGTTTGCTCTGGGTTTTTTCGGGAAGGCGGCTGAATTCTGATGAAACTGGCAAGATTAAGACGTTCGGTGCAGATTAGAGTTGGAACTTGCAAGTTTGTCCGGCGAATAACTACTTGAGCTAGATACGCTGTCAGTGCTGCAAATAAGTTAAATTTTACCCTGAACTCGACCTAACACTCCGTCTCGTGATGAAGGCTAATGCATAGGCTAAGTCAACAAGCTCCTGTGGTTGAATCCTGACAAAAGCGTGTGTGCATCTTCTTTCCCACAATGGCGTATGAATGCATCCGAATCATTCCTATCTTGCGTCGCAGATTCTTTATTGAGCGTTTGATAGTCTCTATCGAAATACCTCATTTTCCGAGCCAGAACCATAAAGACGAGGCCCTGCGGGGCCGCTGCTTCGGCTCACTGAGTGGCTCTTGCTGACCTGATTCTACTTTCACTGTCGGTTGTTCCTTTTCACTCTTTTTCAGAGTCTCTGCCTCCCCCAGTGGTTGTTTCCTTTGGGTTTCTTCCAACGTTACGCCGTCTGGTTCGCCAGTAAATGGGGGAAACGAAGTATACTTGTTTGCGTAACTTTTATCTGAATCCTGTTGAGCGTCTTTTTCTGGCTTACCTTTCGGCACTGTAGTCTTAGCTTGTAGTTGCAACGCGCTCTCGGCGGTCTTTGGCCCTTCTAGTTCAGCTGGGCTTTTCTCATCTCCGGAGTCAGCCATAGTCGTGGCTTTGCTTGTGGAAAAGGGTCTGACGATACAGAACGCAGCTAATGATAAAGGGCAGATACTGAAAAATGCAAGTATCTCTCATTAGTCTGATGCCATGATATTCTGACAACCTTTCCTCTTTATAACGGCCGCTATCATACTTTCCTATAGATCTCGAAGCCTCTAGATGCGGCTGTCTATCTCCTCTGTTGAAGGAAAGGTTGGGCTCTAACAATGATCTTTCGCAATTTCATGCAACTTGAATAGTATTTATTCATGTAAAACCGAGCCTTTACGGTTCTCGCCAGACGCAACTGGAATTACGGAGACCGTTCGGGGACTAGTTACTCAGAAGTAGGTAGTCTAATATTTTGTGGTGAGAATGTGAGCACATTGTCTACAACAATGTCGGAAACACCGTGAAACAAAGGTAATTGGATCACCTTTGCCATGTCTGAGCCGAACCAACAAAGAAGCTGGAAAGTGCTGCACAGCCCCTGGAGCAGCCCCCAAATCGTCAAGGGTCTGTCTTACAGGGATGACAATCTCGCTATTCGGATAGCCGCGGGCGATTTAGGTCCACGGACTCACGGAGCAAGGCTTGTTGCACCTTAAGTTGATTAAGCTGTTGCCTGTGTGTTCGGTCCGTAGAAGATTCCAGGGGTCATCTGCGCTAATCTGCCGCCGTCGCTGTTCGACAAGAGCTTCAACTCAAGATTCTCTGGCGGTGCGTTTTCAAATGGCAAGCTCAGTTAGTCAGAGCCAAACTATTGCGTGTCATTTAGTCCAACACATCACCGCCTTCGTCTCTGACCAAGCCGTTACCTAAGACAAGCCATTCAGAGACAGTGAGACAATGTTGCTAGGTCTTTCTGAACAACGTGCCAAAGCCACATCAGGCTACGAAGGGGACGAGGATTTGAAAGCCTGTCAGCATGCCAAGGGCGCTAACGATCCTTCGCGAGCCGTTTTGCCCAATACCAGGGCATTTTGCTCATCGCCTCTGATCTAGCGTCATGGGTCTGCAGGCTTTCAGCATGATTTGGGTTTGATGTTAATTTCGGTAACACCAGCCTCAACCAAAGCCAACATTGAGGCCACTCCCATTCCCAGTTTCTTGGAGCCTTTCCTTCAAACATGGCGGGGAGCTTGTTGGCTGGGGATTGACTTTCTCCTTCTCGTTCCTCACTTTTTCGTTGATTTTGGCATCTTGTCGCGTCGTTCGTTTCGTGATTGTTTTGTTCACTCTTTGCGATGATGCTCAAGCCTTCGGTAAAGGGAGCTTTGCTGGGATGTTTGCTGCATCTGCCCAGCCTCTCTAATGCGCAGTCGAAACGCGCTTGGGAACTGTCAGACGTACCCTCACCAGAGATCTTTCTCCGTCGAGCAGAAGCAAGAGGTAGTGGATATCATACTCTAAGTAATCGTATTCAACTGATTTTGGCCGTTTAGTCGCGGTTCTTGGCGACTATGCCTACATCGATGGCGGCGAGGTCTCTCAGCTCGACGCGCGAGGTAATCCGATAACGGCGCGGGGTTCCAACGCAGGTCAGTTACTTCAATGACGAAGCGATCAATACCGACACCTTCTCACGCGGCGCGAATACTAGTCAACTCCACATTATCGATCGACTTGACAACGTCATGGTCCGCAACCAGCGTCAAGATCAGAGAGATTCCGAAGACGCCGAAGACTATGGATCAACAGGCGATGTGGAAGAACGACGCGAAGAATACATTCTGGATCTGGGGCGGGCATAGCCCATTTGGAGCCCCGCTGGACGAGCCCACGTCCTGGAAGTTTGAAGCAGACGGTAAAGGAGGTGGGACTTGGTCAAAAGAGACGCCAGCGAACCCAACACTTTTCCAGGAATTGCGACGAAATGAAGGGGGCGCATTCGCTAGTACTCCCGACGCCGGGTTCTGGTTTGGAGGACAATCGTCGGGCTGGACGACATCCAACCCTTATTCGCAGCCACTCCCCGGTATCTTGTCCTACAATATGACAACGAAGTCGTGGGCGAACGAGACGAATGACGCCTTCTCCAAGTACGGCACTTTAACGGGAGGCTCAGCCGTCTACATCCCGACTTTCGGTTCGAACGGTCTCATCACCATTTTGGGCGGCGCAACGTGGGGTCTCGAACCTGATCAGGCAAAGCCCCTCGGATGGCAGGATTTCAGCAACTTGACCTTCATGGATCCAGTGACCAGGGATTGGTACTGGCAAAAGACAACTGGAAACGCGCCCACTCCCCGCAGCAATTTCTGCAGCGTTGGAGTCGAAGGCAACAACGGAACCTACGAGATGTGAGCATTCTAATTGATCTCTTACAACTTTCGTTGATGCTGATAAAGGTTTAGCTTTGTGTTCGGCGGTACCAACAGTGAGACAGGTTCAACTTATGACGATGTCTTTGTTCTAAGCCTCCCGGGGTTCTTTTGGAATCAAGTCGCTTACGAGTCGGAAAATCCGAGGAGGAATCATTGCTGCGCAGTAGTGGGCCGTCGTCAAATGCTGTCAGTTGGAGGAGCGGATGGTAAGACGGGATATACAAGTGCCGACCCCTGGCCGCAAGGACTCGGTCTCTTCGACATGACGGACTGGAAGTGGAAGACGGATTACGACGCAGACGCCAAAGACTACGAAAGCGCGAAGACAGTCAGTGACTGGTATCAGCAAATGTAAGAGAAATGAGCCTAGTACTTGAAAGCTGACGGCATGTGCCAAGGTGCTAACATCAATCTAGTGGTATCAGTTCCGTCCAGTGGTCATCCAACGACGTTCAGGCACTGTTTAGGAAGTTAAACACAAACACGACCGGAGAAACCAATCAAGATCCAGCAGAGAACAAAGATACCAAGGGATCTACCCCAATAGCCGCCATTGTCGGCGCTGTAGTTGGAGCCGTCGTTGGTGCCATCATCGGGCTTGCTCTGTTCTGCTTCGTCAAACGTCGGAAGCAGAAGCAAGCAGCCGAAGCAGCGACTGCACTTACTCCATATCCTGACCATGCAAAGGGTGATGGAGCATACCATGCTTACTATCACCCTGTGGCTCCAGGGGAGTTGCAGTCGGATGTACCACAAACTGAATTATATGGTGGATCAATACCTAAGCATGAGATGTGGGCAGAAGTACCAAAGCATGAGATGAATGCCTCTGGAGTTCATCACTACACCGTTACTGAACTCGACTCCCACAACACTCTATTGGGACAAGGAGATAGAGATCACTCCAAATTCAGACGTGATCTGCAATAGGACACGCAATTTCAATAAACACGAATTTTCAAACACCCGCTGCAGTTTAGATGTCAGAAAAACGCAAGTAATCTCGGCGTAGCATCAATGTTGCCTTCAGTGCAGTTGTGATCCAATCAAACAGGCTCACAACAAGTTCGACTGCACAATTCGGGTACTAATGCTCAATCAGTCTCCGCTCGCCAGCATATCTGACCAAAAATGGTATGTTCATGACCTGGGACAAGTGACGACTCGGCCCGGTTGTCTCCCACCGGCTTCGTGCGCCCATTCGAGCGGCAGATGATCGCCACATCACTCAGACTGCAATGTCGCACAAACTCCGCTTAGAGACATCATCCGAACGCATATCGCGTAAATCTAATGGGACATTGAGATAAGGTACCAAACGGGAATCCTTCCGCAGTGAAGCTGACGCGCACTTCCGTCCACATCCTCTTGCCCTTTTGGCTTAATTTGTAACGTTGAAGTGCACGATGCCGGTCTATCTCACGTCAGCGATGTTGAGTTTCTTGGCTGCGTAGCATAATCCAACGAGAAGAGCGCAAAAATCCTTGATTTCGTTGAAATGGATTATCAGAACAATGTTTATACCATTTCTGCAAGTGATGCACCTACACTCAGTACCCACAGCCCACGATGTCTTGGCGTGCTTCCGAGCTTTTCCAGGGAGGAAGGCAGGTGGGCAACCTAAAGTAACAGAAGAGAGCCAAAGGTTTTCCATTTACTATTGAAGACTGCCTTGTATAAAGCTCAGGCTACCTCGAAGATAGCTTCATCCCTCATGACCTGATTAAGCTACATCATACGACACCGTACACCCAGCAGCCGGAGACCACCCTTCAAGATGTCATCAACCAAGAAAAAGATCTTGTTCCTTTGTAACAAAGATTACGGTCAGGCTAATGTCATTCTTTCAGCTACCTACGCCTTGATAAAGATCAACCCCAATGTCGAAGTACACATTGGCTCACAAGCAGGCTTTGATTCTCAGCTCCGCCGCTTCGTCGACCAATGCAACAAGATAGAAGGAGCCCCGGCTGGGAACGCCGTCAAGTTACATCCAATCGTCGGACTCTCCCACTTCGAGGCCGTGGATAGACCTGACAATCCGGCGCTGGCTACCTGGCTTACAAAGCCAGGGCTCATCAATACGTCCCGCAACATGCTCACACTTGCCGGCCTGGCACTTCCTTGGAGCCCGGAGGAGTTTTTCGAGACTTATAAAGCTATCGAGGAAGTCTTCGACGAAGTGAATCCTGATGCGACTGTGGTGGAGGCATTCTTTGCGCCAGCTACAACATTTGCCAACCAAGCAAACATCAACTGGATTTGTCTGGCTCCAAATACCATCAAAGAATTCGCGCTGCCGATGCAACCCAAGCTCGCAATGCTGTGGAAGTATCCCATGTGAGTGCAGGTAAAGTAGAGTCGAAGCCAGTATTCACAACTAACATCAGCCAAGTATACAATCAAGCCTGCCATTTCCGATTCCAATCCATCTAGTCCCCCTCAACGTTTTCTTCAATCTCGTCGCCGGATACGGACTCTTCGCGGATTCGAGATATAAGCGTGTCTCGGCATATCTCACCAAACATGCTGGACCCGGCATCGAGATCATCACCTGGAACGAGCTTGGCCTTCTGAAAGCACCACCCAAGGGCCTTCGAACCCTTGTCGCCAATAGTCCCGACATCGATTTCCCCTTTGAGAGCATCCCCGAGTCCATCACCCCATGTGGTCCTATCACCCGCGCTGCCCCCAAGATTGAAATCGAAGATCCTGAACTTGCTGAGTGGCTGAGTCGAGGGCCAACAGTCTTCATCAGCCTCGGCACACATCATTTCTATGATCTTCCGAAGGCGACTGAATTTGCGCATGCGATTCGAAATCTTCTTGATCGAGCTGAAGAACACAAGGGTGATTCTGAAGATGAAGCTAGACTCCAAGTGCTTTGGAAGATGCCGCGCAAGTTGGACGAAAACGAGGACGCAACCGAAGACTCTGAGCCATGGCTCGACGTCGAGGCAATTATGAGTCCCTTCATCAAACAGAATAGAGTCAAGATCACGGACTGGTTTACTGCCGAACCAAAGTCCATCCTAGAATCTGGCCATCTGGTGTGCTGTGTCAGTCATGGCGGCTCTAATTCCTTCCATGAGGCTTTGTGGTAAGCACCTCACTCAACTCAAGAGCTCGCGCTAACTCCCAAACTAGTACTGGTATACCACAAGTCGTTCTGCCAGGTTGGGGCGACTGCTATGACTTCGCTATTCGGTCAGAGATCCTGGGCATTGGGAAGTGGGCCAACAGGAAGGCCAAGCCTTACTGGGAGAGAGAAGAACTTTCCGAAAAGCTGATTGAAGTCGTGCTTGGCCCTCAAGCGCAGGCGATGCAGGAACAAGCTCAAGCACTAGCCAAGCGGCATCCGGAAGGCGCTGGTCGAGAGAAGGCTGCAAGAGAGATTCTGGATCTTCTGGATAAGGTTGAGGAGAAGGTCTGATTTTTTGGTTCCTGCAAGATCACAGTCTTGTTATGAATGTCAATTGGATGCGCAAGAAGTGCAAGATTTCATCAAACCCAAACGTTCTGAGTCTCAATGACAAAGTCTCAACCCAATGTAAGGTACTATTCAACGATGCCCAATGGTCACTCATCCTCCACAGTAGCCGCGAACCTTTTATCTCCCTTCCACCACGGACGCTCTTCTGTTTGAATGGACTCAGCACTTTTCGCTTCCTCGAAAAGAAATGATGTGTTCGTCGCTGTGAATGATTTCTCTTTGCCTCCTCCAGTCAAGTCCTTTGACTTGGACCTTTCGGGATCCAGGTGTTGTGTATTTGTGCTACTCATCCTCAGGCAATCCACGATCACGCCATGTCCAGCCTGAAGCGCCAAATGCTGCGCAGTATACCCTTGTCGATCTTGCGCTTCAACGTCTGCCCCGTTACTCGTGAGCATCTCTACAATAAGAAGACTTCCTGTCCAGGCTGCAAGGTGCAAAGCCGTCCATCGCTTGTTGGTGTTGAGGATCTGTAAGTTTGCACCTTTCTTGACTAGCAATTCGGCAACACTAGGATGGTCTTGGAGGATTGAGAGATAAAGTGGTGTCTGACCCTGACGGGTCTGAGCATCTATATGCGCATCGTTGCGTAGGAGCATTTCGACAATCGGGAGGGACCCCCCTGAGGCCGCGTCATGCAGAGGCGTGCGCCATGACAAGTCCTTGGAGTCGACGAGATGCTCCGCTTTCTGGATCAGAATCTGGCAGCACCCAAGATGGAGTCCAGTCACGGCCTTGTATAATGCGTTGTGATTATTTGTGTCAATTTGAGTTGGGCTCGCTCCGTTTTCGAGTAGTAGCCAGACGGTTGATGCGGTTCCTCGGGTCGCTGCTAGATGCAGAGGTGTCATTCCGTGTTTGTTCTTAGCGTCGATTTCGGCCTTATTCTGTAAGAGTATCCAGATGATATTCAGAGAGCTTCTGTCTTGATTGCCGCTGGTGTTGTGTACTGCCAGATGAAGAGGTCGGTTTCCCTTCTTGTCTGGCTTGTTGACGTCTGCACCGCCCTTGATCAGCTGCCATATGGTCATCTCTCGCTTGTACTTCACGGCCCAGCTCAAAGCAGTCAGTCCCTCGGAATCCGAATCATCCAAATTGATACCTCTTTTAGCTAAGCGGCTGATGATGTAGTCTTGGCCCTCTTGAGCTGCCCATCTCATCAGTGTCCACTCCTCTGAGCCCGGTGACTCGATTGTTGAGCCTCTGTCGATAAGAGTCTTAACGATCGACTTGTACCCCTCTCGTGCTGCCCAGCGTAACGCTGTATATCCATCCTTGTCAGATGCGCTGATCTTTGCTCCGGCCTCCAGCAGGATATTTACAGTCCTCTGGTATCCATAACGGGCAGCCCATCGCAAACAAGTGTATCCCTCGGAGTCTTGGAACTCAAGGTCTGCCCTTTTCTCTACTAGAATATTGATAAAGTGCTTGTGGCCCATCGCCGTCGCCATGTGTAGGGCCGTCTTGCCGTTGGTGTTTTGGATGTTGAGATCCGCCCCTGCATTGATCAGAAACGACGCAAAGTCTTGTTGGTTATGGGCTACTGCCCAGTGTAATGGGGTATCTCCGCTCCTTGTTCTGGCATTGAAGTCAACATTGCTGGCCTTGGACATCGCTCTCCTGACTAGATTGTCAAGCCCAAAGTAAGCAGACACATGCCCTCCGGAAACTTTTGTCTGGTGCGAGATCCTTGGGTCTTTCATCGTTCTCAATGCATTGTCTAGCTTAACTTGGTTCGATGCAAAGTCCCAGGCCAACTTGTAATTACTTCCTTTTACTTTTGGCACCTCGGAGAAGTGGTGTCCCCAATACGCCGCTGCGTAGCGGAAGAGAGGATACATCTCGCAGTGCTTATTGAGCTCTTCCCCAGAGTAGCAAGATTTCTGGCTTGAGGCGTGGTAAAGACAGTTTAAACAGGTTTCCAGAAGGGTAGACTGCTCATCTCTGATTATCTCTTGAGCCAAGAGGAATTCCGCTGCAGTGGCATGAGCCAATCGAACAGTCCTTTCGGGTGCAGATCTACCGGGGACAACGACGATGAGGCCGATGCAGGCTGATAAAAGAACTTCTTCCGTACACATGTTGGATGATGTAGGCAGGAGATAGTTCCTCGGCTCATTGTTGGTGACCAAAGTTGGCGGGGCACTACGAATTGCGACAGCGTGTAGAAGCTCATCGACAGTGAGAGCTCTCTTAGCATAAACGACCCAGGATAAGGCATGAATAGCCAAACTCCGCTTCGAAGCGGAGTTGCTCTTTATGCGGTCCATTGCCTGATGATAGACCTCCTGCGGGCTTGCTGAGAGGTGTGACAATTTGTTGATGAGCTCAACGAGACTCAGAGTTGAAGCCAAGGATTCGATATGAAGATGTGCAAGGAGGAACCTATGTCAAATATGAGCAGGGTTTAGTATATTTGGCTCTTGAATGACTTCGATGACTTACATTCCTTGAGACTTTTTCATGACTGCTTCAACAATCTTGTCTTTGAAGCACGGATCCGCTATGCGGCCGTTCTCTACGACTGATTGAAAATCGTAGTGATTTTCGATGAACTTTTCGAAGTAAGCTTTGACATCAGCTGCATCTGCTTTGACTTCACATTTATGATCTGGGCTTATCATTCGATGGAATTGGGATCCCGGCCTCGACGTGAAGACCATCCTGAAGTTTTTCGGCAAGTCCTGGCATCTCCTTAAGAAGATCGCAAGAGTGTTTTCGACGGGGCTGTCGAGACATTCGTCAAGAGCGTCTACCACGAGATAGATAGTGGAAAACAATTCCGCTTGCGATGCAATCATTTTGAAGTAGTCCTCCTCAGTTGGGACTTGTCGAGTCCTTTTCCAGGTACTAACGACGCGCTGGGTTTCGGGAGAAAGAACGTCCTGATTTTGCAAGAGTTGCAACAGTAACGTGGATAAAATGTCGGTAATCCCTTGTTCAGAGTGTTTTGTGTAGTCAAAGTAAAAGTAGACGCAGACTTCCTTGCTGCGATGTCCTATCACCCGATTGGAGATATGATCGACGATGATAGATCTGCGAAGCTTTGATCAGTACAAGCTCATTAGATCAAAGGAGGACTGTGACAAGATCAAAAGCTTGATTCTTACGCAAGAACTGTTTTCCCAGATCCAGCTAAAAGCGCCCTTTCGTTAGGTCTTTGATCTCATTTTTGCAACAAAGACATAATCTTACGGATTCCATAGCACCAAAATTTCCGAATATCTCCAGCACACCATTTTTCAAATGCCGGCAGTTGAATGATCGCGTGCCCTGCACCGGGAGTCTTCAAAGCGATTTGGAATGTTTCGGTTTGGATCTTTGCAACATCCAGCGGCCGTGACACTAGCCTCAGCCAGTCCGCGATATGTAGTTCTGGACGGTCCACTTTGGTGAGAATAGGAGACACAATCAGTTCGGACAGATGGAAACGAACCAGTAGCACCAGAAGTTTGATAGTAATGATTTGCTACACAGAATCCACTGGTCGTCAGCTTTTCTAAACTTGAAGACCTTCAGTCAGAATCGCTGTCTCTTGATCTCCTACCAAAGTACATATTGTGGCCTGATTGATATTTATCTCCCATCGCAATGTCAGCATTGCTGCCTGTCGAAACCAACCCTTTCGCTTTGCCGTAGTTATTCATTGAGATATTGTTAGACGCGGCATCAAAGTCCGAGTCTGGGAGGGATGGGTCCACTTCTGACAGAGACCGGATTGCGTCCTCTAGGCCGCCGACTTGCTTTTGCAACTCCGCACTTGCCTTGAATATCTGACGAATAGCAAGTACCTTGAGCTTTTTGAGTATGTCTTGCATCAGGCTTTCGACTTTGTGAGCCTTGCCCAATGGTACGACTTTGTTGTGATAGAACTTGACAAGAGCAGACCACTCTTTGGCCTCCTTTTCCTGGTTCTTGCCGCCCTCAATGTCTTTGAAGATGTCGCGTAAAGTGGAAGCCCGCTTTTGACAATCACCCAGTGCGGGTATAAGTTCCTTCTCAGCCGCGTCGTCTGGTTTCTCGGCTTTCAGGGCTTCATGAGCGAGTTGCAGTGTGTTCTCGACGAGTGGGAGGCTTTTCCCCACCTCCTTGAAGGCTGCGGGTAAACCCTTGATGTGTTTGATGGCATCGAACGTAGCCAACAATGACTGGATGACAGTAAGAGTGCTTGCTGTGATGCTCAGAGGATCCATGTTGGAAAGCTATTAGTCCAAGGTAGGTATCCGAAATAGCCGCCGTTGGAGAGTTCCTAGAAATAGATGCGCAAGCTCAAGCATGTGCTGTAACCAACATCAAGGGATAGCCGCGATTGACTAAGACGGCTAAGTTGCAGACTTCAAGATATGTTCCAAGTAAACAACTCAGCGACAGAGAAGAGTTAACGGAATCAGCAGCCTCTCTATGTTTAAGCATTTGGACCATGCTCTCGGCCGAAGAGCTAACGAATCACAGAGCACATTTCGCGCCCACATCATTGCGCCAATCCGACTTGCAGGGGACTCGAAGAACAGAAGCATGTCATGGGGGCTGAGCTTCACACCATGATCTCGGTGGCATTGGGCTATCCTACTGGCTCAAATCCCCACGTCGCTTATCCCAAAACACGTCAACACTGCCACCATCATCAAGCGGCCGGCTGCAAAGTCTTACCACATGCATATATATTGCATGCCAGCCTGCTTGAAGTGTTCGTTAGTGTGTAACGTTCTACAAGCGTTTCGCTCTGTTGGTTTGAATGGAATGTTGGAAATGCTGTTAGAAGAGATGCGGCCTCAATTCAGGGTCCAGCTTTTGAGTTGATGACAGTAACGCAAGATCATTTCCCAGCTTCGGTTCATTGCGACGCTGAGCTCTGAATTCCAGCGTTTAGCAGAGCCTCGTTTGTCCCTCTCCGTAAGTCGACGTTAGAGATCCAGTGGCTTAACCCAAGTATAAGCAAGTACTCTACTTCTTGACATGGTTTTCTACACTTCGCAGTACATTAGCGCCTATCTAGCGCCACTGGCCGCATATGTAAGCTGCGACAAGCCGGTTGACTTCAAGGCAGAATTCAAGGCGTCCATGAGGCAGCTGCATTTCTAGCATAGCCTGCTCGAAAGTCATGTCCGGTCCCTGTGTCCAAGGATGAAACGGGGTAAGTGACGGCCGGAGCGGCGACCTGTCTAATCGGAGCAGCTGGATAAACGGCGAACGGGTGGTCTTCCTTTCATCGCCGCACGACACATGACTGCCAACACGAACCAACAATCACCCCCAGAGCCAATGACATGAACGCTCGATGGCGGTCTTCAGAAGCCGACCGGCAAGAAAATGTTTCGAAGAGAGCCGAACCTATCCCGCGCGTTTTCTTTCGGAGCGGCGTGGATCGGGATGCGATGACGAATATAATAAAGCAGCAGCCACACCACGCACCCCGACTCTAGCAAATTGGGACCATGTCGCATTATCCACATCTGGCAATTGAAAGTATGCTTTGAAAGTTAACAGTTCTTCGCTCCATCAAACATCCATTCACCTTACATTTAATACCATGGTTTCAGCGCTCCCTTATTCTTCGCAAAGAGAACCAACCCAACAGGAAGATATTCCAGAAGAAACGGACTGGAGCGAATCGGAACCCGACGTAACACGAAGATCCTACAGACAACATCAACGTCACACAGAACCAGTCGGCAACTTCGAAGATCTTTCCTCACAATTTGCATGGGACGGAACATACGCCGATCCAGATAGCTTGAGCCCTCATCACGAAGCAAGATTTGCTACCGGTCAGACAGTCCCGTATAGGCGCGGTCACCTAGAAGGTTTCGCAGATCCTTCACGACACAGAGGTCCCCCGCCTCCCGGTCCCGACGAGCCTCAAGGGTTCAGTCAGCAGCCTCAGGGCCCAGCCATGAACTACCACGGAGTTCCTCCTCCTCCACCACCTCCCCATCCTGGCGTATATCCAATGCATGCGCCTCCAATGCCGCATTATACTCCAGCACCTCATACTGCTGGTTGGAAAAATTCGATGGGCGGGCCCCGGCCTATGAGACCACCGCCATCTACATATCCTCCACCGATCGAGCCTTACGGTCCTTACTATGTACCGCATCAAGGACCAGTACATCCTCATCCATACGCTGCCACACCTCGCAGTCATGCTTATAATACCGGCCCTCGCCCACAGACTGCTCTTCCCCGTCAACGCAAAAATCATTACCCCCAGTACCCCGCACCGCAAGAGCCAGTCGAGGGATATTACGAAGAAGCAAGCGCGCCCAAATCGAAGAAGCATCCTAAGCCAAGGCAGGAGAAACCACCCAAGCGATCAAGCAGAGACGATGAGATGGAAGAGATGAAGAGGGGGTTGGAAGATCTGGCGTTCAGGCAACAGCAAGTGCATGATGTTTGGAAAGCTCAAGAAAGACGCGAAAGGAAAAAAGCATCAGAAGCAGCTCTGAAAGCCTCTTTGGTCAAAGAGGTGACAAAGACTGTACGAAAAGAATTCCAGAACGGTGCCAATGCTCAACTGAGAGATATTGACATGCGCTCAGAGTCCAGCAGGCGTATGCTCCGCTCCGATATTGGCTCTAGGGGGTTTTCGGCGCCTGTTCCGTCAGTCTATGATGACCAAGATACTGGCTCCATTATACAAGCTACTGTCATGGAAACCTTGCGGGCGGTACGCGGACAGTCGCTGTCAGATCTTGGAGGCTTTCAAGCTCCTCACAGACCATCTCATCGACGAGCTGCATCAGAACTTCCTTACTCTGGCGGCGGTCATCCACCACTACCAGGAGACAGTGATCCTACCGCTACTAACAACCCCTTCATGCCTAACCGAACAATCTATGGTCAACCCCCTTACCAGGGACCCGATCCACAACAAAGACAAGCCCAGAGATCCGAAGCTTATTGGACCGGAACAGTAAGGAAACCTCGAGCGAGGAGTGGAAGCCACTCTGGGCCGCAATTGCAAAGAGATACCAATATGCCACTTCACGGTAGCCTGTCTCCCGGTGACAGCGGCTATGCTTCACCGGAACCGCTGAGATCGGAAAGACCACACGGCCAATCAAGAGCACGAAAGGTATCGTTCCGAGATAGCGACGGAGCATCTCGCCCCAGACATGAGCACGTTCGAGATGAACAAGCGGTTGACTGGTCGGAAGATGAGGTCGAGGTGCTAGGACACCCCCAAAGACAAAGGAGAACATACACAACTGGGGCGCCTGGGCGGCCAAACTTCACAATCGAAGTAATGGGTCCACCACCAACAGCGCCAGAGGTTGGCCACTTCTGAGAAGCTAAGAAGGGGAGGGTTGTAATTATTTTCTTTGGGAGGGGGGGCTAAAAACTATCACCAGAAGGTAGTACGGGGTATAAAAGTGTGTTCTTATGTCTGTACTACACCCCTAATCACTTAGCATGATTTTGTCATTTTTGCAGTATTGAAGTATTTTGCCGACCTAAATAGAATGACGGTTATCGTATTTTCAATATCACTAGCGAACTCCTTTGATCTCCCACGCACCACGCGAAAGTACATGAAGAAAAGAGTAAGCTCTGATCCAGTACTCTATACCTGAGTGGAACTGGCAGCACGGAAGACTTCCATTTCGATTACAGCTAGTTGCTATTGATCAAGCTTGATTTTGCTATTTAATTTCCTTTGAAAACCAGCCCCGTACCCTGTCTAGACTGTCCGGTATATCCTTTTTGTAATTGTAGAACACTATTACTTCAATATTGCATATCAATGTTATTTATTAATGGGTCGCAAAAGCCTTGAGGCTAGCAGTTCACGGAACCATATTGTGAAAGCCGGGCTTCAAGAGTACATGTACTGTCACATGCTTCCAGTAAAAATTGATATGTCACTAATATAAAGCCAACTAAGCTTAAAAGTAACAGGATTCGTGTACGGACACATGATAGAGGCACTGCACGAGAAGTGACGGTGTGATGCTAGACTTTGGTTGACAGACTAGGCAGCCTCTGTAAACCTTATGTGTGACATACAACAAAGTAACCCCCAATTTAGTAACTCACCAGCCTAAAGAATAGTAAGGTCTCTCGGGCTTGATGCGACCGTTGTTCTCAGGACGTTCCACTTGACGTTCAAAGATACAGCCCGCCCCTTGACATAAGTTCGGGCTTTTACAAAGTTCAACCACATTGGTAATAGTAAGGAGCCGAAACAGCTTGACATGTCGAGCCCGACTTCTCACATCGTCAGCATCAAGTAATCTCCTACAATCTCAGAAGAATGTCAACTTACAACACAAGTGGTGCAGCCAGTGTACCCTTCGCCGCCACATTGAGCATACTTGGCAACAGTGCAGCCAGGCAGCCCACCAGAGGCCGTTGGGAGTGGCACGCTCGATGCGGTCCCAGTAGGTCCAGAGCCAGCGGTGCACGTCGACTCGCAGCCCACGCAGGCAGCACCGGCGCTCTTAGTCGAGCCTCCGGCGTACACAGTCGGGCCCGGCACGACGTAGGTAGTCAGTGCCCTGTGAATGTCGACAAGAATGCCAGCATCAGAAGCCTTGTACGCGCCCGGGAACGAGACGGTTCCGGGTGAAGCACTTCCGCCGCCAGTTACGGTGAGTTGGAAGCAAGTCATGTACAGCTGGGCGCCACCGCTCGAGCCGGCCGCGTGCAGGGCGATGGACTCGGCGCGAAGGAGGTAGTCTCCGGCGGGGATGTCTGAGGGAATCTTGACCTGGACTTTGCCACAGCAGGTGTTCATGTCCTTTGATCCCCAGTTGTCGCCGTCGCCGTTTGCACTGCCGGCCGCGGCGGACCATCCGTCTTGATAGATCTTGAACCAGCCGGTCGAGCCGTCGGCGGTCGTAGCGTCGGAGACCTTGGTCATGTAGGCGAGGACGGGGCCGTAGTGTGCGCCTCCGATGGCTTCTTGGGTGCATGTTCGGTCATTAGGTTGCTATCGGCAGAGACGTTAGATCTGACATGGAACAGTGAAGTCAAATAGTATGCTTTGGCGTACCTGATGCATCTCAACCACAACTGAGGACCCGGCCTTGACCACACACTTGCGAGCAACTGGGCCGCCATTGGCATTGCATCGGACATCGTTGGAAGTGACGTCCTGAACGGGTGAGTTCGAAAGCGGAAGTCGGGCACATTGTCCCCCAAACTACTATCAGTCAGCACAAGCTTGCGATTTCTTGTGTCAAATGCTTGGGCCTACGTCTACTCCATCAACCCACAGAGCCTGGAAGGTTGCGTGTGCTGAAACCTGGTTGGCCGCGATCGCCAGCAAGGATAGAATAGCGGACTTCATGACGATCAAAGCTTGGTATACGGGAAGGGTTGATTGATGTCAAGGAGGATGGCGTGCGCAAGAAAGAGC